TTACATTTCTATTGAAAACACCATCCATAGAAATGTAAACAATAACAATCTCGAGCTCGGGATAAAATGTTAGGTATACAAATTTTTAAATCATTTCAAAGAAAGTAATTTTACATAGCAAAATTTGCACGCAATCTGTCGAATAATTCCTGAGAAATTGAATTTTAAAAAATTTATCGATAAAATTATATTTCTCAGAAGCCTTTCGACCGATTTAGTTCAAATTTTATACTTTGTCATATAAAATTAAATTCTTTAAAATAATTTATGAAAAATAATAATACTAAATAATTACTAAAAATTGTTTTATTCGTGGAATTATTTTCGGATAAACTAATTTTACATTTTTGCGCAACAAGTTTTCGATTTGCTTAAAAAGATATGATTCACGAGATATGGCGAAATACACAAAAAGAAAAATTAGTATTAAGGGGTCCAAACTTTCGACATGTCTCCTGATCAAACTATCGGGACCATATTTTCCAGATTGCGGCTACTAAAATATCGCCTACACTAATTAATTAGCATGTTTGAGGTCATCCCCGCGAACCATTAAGTTTGAGTCCCAATGCGTGGAAAATCCGATCATTAGATCATAAGTTACTCAAGGCGTTCCACATTATTAAGAAACTATTTTTTCTCAATAATATGTTCTGAATCCACTTTGTCAAAAAAATGGACAAAAGTTAAAAACTAAAGAATGAAATTTTTTCTTTATTAATTCTCAATCCAAACTCAATGCAAATTAATAAACAATTTATTTGTTGCGTAATAAATTTAAATTATTGATGAAAAATAACTATCAGTTTAAGAGTTTTTTTTTAAATTTATTACAAAATTTTTTAGAGTTCAATATTCATGATAACTAAGATTATCAATTTTAAACCTTTTATCCCCCTAGAATGATTTTCTGGGTGAGTTACTGTTATTTAGCTAGAACAATACTCATCGTCCCTAGTCTGTTATGAAATATAGAAAGAATTTAAGAAACAAATTAAAAACGCAAAAGAATTGTATTTAACAATCAAATATTGATTAGGTTTGTGGATTTTGAAAATAATATACATGGGACGAAAATGTTTAAAGGAAGTTTTTACGAAAACAATAATATATATAAATATGAGCCTTTGCTCTTGTTGTTGTTGTTAATTTACGTCGCACTAGAACTGCACAATGGGCTATTGGCGACGGTCAGGCAAACATCCCGGAGGATGATCCGAAGACATGCCATCACAATTTTGATCCTCTGCGGAGGGGATGGCACCCCCGCTTCGGTAGCCCGACGACCTGCGCGCGAAGTCGAGCACTTTACGGTAGCACAGTTTAACGAGGACCAATACCGCACACCCTCGGTCCCTACGCAGACTGATCCAAGTGGTCACCCACCCGCACACTGACCGCAGCCAGTGATGCTTGACTTCGGTGATCTGCTGGGAACCGTGTCTTAACGATCAGTCCACTATGAGCCTTTGCATATGGAGCTGAAATTCTATTACTAATGCTGAAATTCTATTATTAATACAGAAAACTCTATCACAAATTTGAGAATAATGCTTTGGATAATTGTTTGATTTATCACAATTTTATTGCAACAAAACGATGAGTTTAATGAACTAAATAATAAGCCTAAATTTTTTCGGTGCGAATCTGTCAAGTAAAACTAATTTAAACATGAACCAAAATTTGGATGAAATCTTAGTCTTGAAAACAAACACAGACTTAAACTAATATCTGAATAAAACATTAAAGTTTATTCATGATATACGTTGCAATAAACAGCATCAACACGAGAACACATTCATCTGCACATTAAATTTCCAAAACCAATTATTTGATTTGAATTTAATACAAGAAAATTTTTTTTCGATGCCAAAAAGTTTTTATTACAAATTTACAATAAACTCTATTCAAAAATACAGTGAAATGATGACGATATCAACAGCAGTAAAATGAAGCTTGGAAACTAATAAAGGTAATGATATCCCACGAACAGGCCAAACCGCCTGGAAACCTGATGTACTTCGTGCCAGTTTGAATAAAGGAACGACTAATGCGGTGTAATCACATATCTTTATAATTATGCTCACTCATTATACCTTTCCATTTCAAAGATATTTTTTTATAAACTTTCATTATTTTTAATCTTAAAACTGATTTGCTGCTTTAAATATTAACAGAATTATATATCTACTTTTAAATTTATTTTATATGGAAATTGTGGAGATTGAGCTGAAATTAAATTATTGTTATAGTTGTAGTTCATTTATGTCACACTAGAGCGGCACAATGGGCTATTAGCGACGGTCTGGGAAACAGCCCTGAGGATGATCCGAAGATATGCATCGCAATTTTGATCCTCTGCTGAGGGGATGGCACCCCTGCTTCGGTAGACCGACGACTTGCTCGCAAACTTCAATTAAATTGAATAATGTTGAAATAAAACAAAAGATGTTCAAATCTCACTTTTGAAAATTTATATTTAGGGAAAAGTTATAATTTCACACAAAAAAAGTGATTCTTATTTTTGAAAAAATCAGTTGAGTTTTTATTTTCTGTTAAATTATTTTTTATAAGAGTTAATTATATTTTTTAAATATTAGTGGTTTAAAAAAAGATATTACTCAGAGATAAGCACCAGAAATATGGTGAGAATTCAGATATTTTTCCAAAATTGCGAATTGTACTTGCTGTGAACTTAAAGATTTCAAGTATTTTGTTTAATAAAATTTATAGTATAAAATTTATAGTTAGCAAATAAAATTTATAGTTTCACATGCACAGTTTAATGCTTTTCTTCTTTATTTACTTTGCTATTAATTGATTATAAATAATATGCATTTGCAGTTAAATCACAATCAAAACTAATATGTCTGATTTTACTTTGAATACATATCAGTTATGACTAATTAGAAGCCACAAAAGGCAGTTATGACAGTGGGTTAAGTGTAAATCCCAATCGATGTAATTAATATACATTAATAATTAACTCACTGTCATAGTTAATTAATAACAATGTTTGTAAAACTGCTAAGGTGATATATTTTATTAAAAAAACCAGCTTTCTTTTTAGTAGTCTCATAAAAAAATTTATAATTATTAGAATTAATGATTGGCTACTGAAACCGGTGACAAATAAAGATCTCTCTACTAATGGCAACATGGTTCTTGATTTTTAAATAGATAAGTTAAGAAACTTCGTGAAACTGAAAACTAAATTGAACATAGATCTAAAAGAAAACGTCGTAGAAATTTTAAAAAATATTTTTGAGGGGGGGGGGTGATTAAGACATGGAACCGGTCTTCTCCCCAGATGGCGTACTTGAGCGTTGAGATCGCGAATAGAAAAAAAAAATATACCTCTAGTAGTATATACACATATGTTTTTATCTCTAAAATATTTTTCTGATATCACACATTTTTTACCTTAAATCTGTTTGCTTTATTTATTTTGCTATGGATGGTGTTTTCAGTAGAAATGTAACCAATAACAATCTCGAGCTGTATGCCTGCTCTAGTTCCGGTTAGAAAGTTTGCAGCTGCTTACTACATGTTATTCTGCGAGGCAATATTTTCAAACGGATAATTTTGTTTTCAATAAAGGAAATAAATTAGATAATTTCTGAGCTCAAATCTGCCGTATTTCATAGGATATTAATGTTATTATGTAATTCTGGTGAGTTAGAAGTGAAAATTCGTTTGAGTTATTTTGAGATATATTGTTGAAAAAGGTGACACGGTTGCTAGATTTTGAATAACTAGCTTTTTTGGCAACCTGTTAGTTCTTGTTGCAAGCTGTGCACCATCTTACGTTAGTGTTAACACTTTTAGCATTGTAAACACAAGTAATGAGCAATTAAATACATTGTTTGCAAGAAACACAATGATGCCAAATGGCTTTAAAATACAACGGAAACAGTAACCCGGAAATTTAGGCGGTACCGAGCTTGCAGCGTTCCCTAGTGTAGAAAACACCATCCATAACCATGCTTCAGTGTTTTAAATTGCACGCATGCTTGAAAACATGCCTCATAGAGGAATCTTGTTTTCTAAGAGAACGCACACATCCTGTTCCTATACACTACTATTATCTAGGCTCTCATTAACTCGTTTGTCAAATATTATGATTAAGATTTGTATTGCTCCTAAAAATGAAATTTGAACGAATCAGAGTTTATCCATTTGAATTTATTTGTGTATGACATTTTTGTTTAAAAATTTTGCAGTTGACAGCAAAATAAAGACTTTAAAATAATAATTGAAATATGTCTGTAGTATTTACTTAAGACTGTTTTTCTTTATTTTTTATCAACTTTTATGATGGAAGCATTTTCGGATATATATAGCTTTATCGCTATCCTGGTCGTTGTTTATTGTATAATTCAGTTTTTTGATACAATATTTAAGGTAAGATTTTTTTTCTTCTTAATTTTGAGTTCATCACGAGGCTTGATTCATAAAAAGTGAAAGAAAAAAATTATTTCCAACAATAAAACTTCCATAGCAAAATGTTTGGTTATGTTATGTAACCAGCCTATAAAAAAAGTGAAAATGTTCTCCGGACGATAGGTAATTTTATCTTCAAGCATGCTTAACTGTGCTAAAAATGAGATGTGAATGAGTGTATGTCAATGACACTGTATGCAAGTAATTGACTGTTTCTATACCTTAGTATAGGGTTTTAAGAAGTAAACACTTTTATATATAACAAGCAAGATTTATTAATAACTTACTACGTTTAATTTAACTTAAAATACAGAAATTACGCCTGAACGAAACACTAGCCGGTAAGGAAACAAACTTCGTTCCGAGCGGGAAGAGAGAAGGTCCCAACTTGATTGCGCATGCGTGATACGATATTTTGTACACAGCCTCCAATGGCAAAGCACAGCGCGCAAAAAAAAAAAAAAANAAAAAAAAAAAAAAAAAAAAAAAAAAAAAAAAAAAAAAAAGATATCACCCTGTATAATTTTCGTTCTAATGATCGAATTTTCAATTACTAAATTTCAATATGTTAATTATTTAGTACTAACTATTAATTAAGTTACAAAAAGCAGACACAAAACGTTCTTTCACAGAATAAACTTGTATTTTTTTTTTACATATTTGGATTCTTAATCTTCAAAATATATGGGGTAGCCGCAATCTGGGAAATATGACCCCCCGTAGTTTGATTAGGAGAGCGAACCAAAGTTTGGACCCCTTAATGTTAGTCATTATTTTAAAACTAATTAAGCAATTCAAAAATAAAAAAAAATTGCACCCACTCAAAGTTTGCCCAAAGATAATTTCATGTAAAAAATAATTTTTAATAGTTATTTTTTATTATTTAATTCATTTCTAGATGAAAGAATTCTGAATTGGGAGGTATAAATTTTTTTATACCATATTAATCTACGTATTTTTCTATGGAAAAATCTGAAGTTTCAATTGTTTTTATTTTGTAGAAGTCGAAAAAAATGGAAATGAATTATTTTTAAAAAATAATTTAGCGACAATGAAGAAATATGGGGTGATTTATATTTTTATAGAAGGAACTTACTTACGCACCCATAGAGTAAAATTTCATTCATATTTTTTTTGTTGCTAATAACCGATTGCTAATCCTTTTTTTAATTATAAAATATGATAATTCTTTCTTAGTCGTCTAAAAATTTATACATAATTCAGTATAATGAATAAAACACTTTATTCAACAAATGTATAGCTTTATGAAAGCATGTTTCTGATAGAATGTGATTATAAATAAACTTTTTTTGGCTTTTATTTAGTTTGTTCTTTCAATAATTGATACAATTCCAATAACATACATACATCTACATAAATTTGGAATAATATATTTATCAATTTCTTCAATATATACTGTTTAAATATTAATACAAATATGCATCTTAAGATTTCAGCATCTTAAAATTTCTCTAGTGATGTAACGAATAGTGATGGGGCCGAATACCGAATATTCGGTGGCCGAATATTTACTTTTTAAAAATTTCTCTTTTGAGTGTAATTTTGTAATTAAAGTAATTTTCAAATTTTAAATTAAAAATGAAATAAGTATTAACAAAATTGCTTTTTTAATCTTTGTATATTTAAAAAAATTTTAACAACTTGATTTATTTTTTGTAATAATTTAAATATCTTGATGGCAATAACAAGGCAATATGGCTTTTAAAAATCTAAATAATTAATAATAGCATATTTTAGTTATAGTTATACTTGTAATTTATATGCTATTTTATTTAAAATAAGAACTCATTACTACTGTTAAATGTATTCTTAACTTTCTTTTTTGTCAGAAAAATTATTAAAACCCAGAAAATTAATAACTTTTTAAAAAGTTTCGCTTTTGAAATTTTAATTTTGTTAAATTTAATAAATAATTTTCAAATTTTAAATTAAAAATGAAATAAATATTAACAAATTTTCTTTTTTAAACTTTCTATATTTTAAAAGAAATTTAACAACTTGATAACAAATTTGCTACAAGAAAACGTTTTTATTTATGTAACATTATTAAATACACTTATGTATTATACAACTTAAATTGAGTAAATGTTAGATTTTCTAATAATTAATGCAGTGAAATGTAACTCTGCAATATTCATGATTAAATATATTTAAAAGCGCATTTAAAAAAATATCTTTCTTTATTATTATGAATTTATTCAGCCAAATATCTAATAGTATTCATATTCAGCCGAATAACTTCATTATTCGGCCGAATAACTTCAGTATTCAGCTAGGCAGAATACCGAATAGTGGCCGAATATTCGTTACATCCCTAATTTCTCACCATCTAATATATCGTCTTAATCATAAAATTAATTTTTTAAATACCTGTCCACGTTTGTTTCGAAGAACTATTTTACCAACTATTTAATTAAATTTTAACAGTACTCAAAATCTTATTCTTTACGCTACCACATACATTATTAATTCACTAATCAATTTTTTTAGTACTTTCTTTTAGGTTTTCCTTTAAAGTGAAACTCCTTTTCGAATTACTGTCACAATTTTATTGAAAGAAAACTTAGAAATATTGACAGCTAACTGAGAATTAAATTTTGTTACGAAATTAAGAACTACTGTTTAGAATTATTAGATACAAAACAACTGACTATTTACTAAGCGTACGTAGTGTGTTTACCGCTACAAAATTATGATTCCTATTCGCTAGTATATAAGACGTGTTAACTCGATTCTATGATGCAGTACCTTTTCATAGATGAAGGTTGACATTGCCAATATCTACTCTCCCCACATGTACTATTTTTTTCAAAAAATGATTGATAAATTATTGATTGTCTTTTTTTATTGTTTCTTATTTATTTGAGTAATAAAAAATAAATGTATAGATGTGCACAGCAGAAAAATGCAAAAATTTGCTTTGTTTTTTAAACGAACAAAAGATTACGACCATGTAATTTTATTTTGTTTTTCAAACTTATTCTCGCCCGTTGACTTTAGGAAAATTGACCTATTAAAAAGAATGTGAAAACGTTTGCTTAAAAAAGTTTATATTATTTCTCAACTTAACCTCAATTCAAAAAATTATTGTTATATCAGGAAAATGCTCGATATGGCTTATTTTTTCAGCAGCAAATGCTTAAAATACAAAATTGTAAAAAGATTCCAAAACCATGCTATTTTTAGAATCATAATCTCAAAAAATTTATCTTTTTCTAACTTTAGAATTTCCTTAATTCTAAAATAAGATATATTTCGAGATTTTTGGATAATAAATGATTTTAAAGTTGTAATTAATATGTTTAGCAACTAGTTTTAATATGCTTTTTTAAAAAATTCTAAATCGAAATTGTTTTTTTATTTCACTGTAAAAAGGCAAAAAATTTTAATGTTTCATTTATGCTCAATTGAAACAGCAAGGAGTTTTACTTACTTAGGATCAATTATTACTACTGATAACAGATTGTCTCCTGAAATAAAAAACCGACTATCTGGCAAATAGGGCTGTCTATGGGCTGAGAAGATTTATTAAATCTAGGTTTCTTTCTAGAAAAACGAAGTTCTTAATTTACAAAACTCTTGTCAGGCCAGTCTTGACATACGCTTCTGTAGCTTGGACAATGATAAAACTGGAAGAAAATTGTATCACAATATGCGAGAAAAAGATTTTGCGGAGTATACTTGGTGGTGTAAATGAAAATAATAACTGGAGAAGGAGAATTAAATTTGAACTGTACAAGATTTATAAACAACCTGATAATATTAAATGCATAAAAATAAATAGAATGAATTGGATGGCCCACGTGATTCGAATGAGTGATGACAATACAATAAAAAATATATTGCTTTTAGACCCACTGGAACAAGAAAGCGGGAAAGGCCGCAGTTGAGATGGGCTGACTCGGTGGAGTCTGATTTCTTTGCAGTTAATGTAAAGAATTGGAGATAAAAGATAAATCAGAAGTCGTTATGGAGAAATCTTCAGAAGAAGGCATTGGCCCACATTGGGCAGTCTGGCTAACTATGATGATGATGATGAAACGTGATGTGGCGCCAGGCATGGTGCATAGTCGCCAAAGGATTCAGATAGATGACATACACAGGATCAACAACCTTGTACCTTTCTTCAGTATTTAAGAAGCTTCGAACATTGCTCTGTGCACGCTCACACTAAACTTCTACTTTTCTGTTTCTATCTTGTTGTTATGTTTTAGTTGGTAATAAATGTTGCTTGATTTTGTAATAGTTGTCCTCAGCTTAATATGAGAGGGTTCTTCCCCCACATTGGTGACCTGGTGGTGATGTGAACACGCCTACGTTGGCAGTAACGCCCACCTCGATATGAACATGCCTATCTTGACAGTAACGTTCACTTCGATCTGAACATGCTTCGATGGATGGTTCACATTGAAAAAATTTACTTGCTACTTGTAACGGAGACTTTATCCACCTCCTTGTGCTTCTCAGTTTCGATTACATACAACACATACACTCGACTGCTAAAAGGCAACACAGCTCTCACGATCAGCACTCAAAAAGTACGGTGATCTTAATACAGCTCTCCCATTTTCTCACAAAAACGGCAATGAATAAACTAGTGGTATCCGTTCATCGAATTCCATCACAGATATAATTCTGGTATATTGATATTTGTTTATTTCTAGAATAAATTTCTATCCTATGTTTTATTTGTATATGTTTTGCATTTGCGTAAGTTATTATATATCCATGTTTTATTTGTATAAAATTTTACTATCAATATATTTGATAAATTTAAATATATTTCTTTATTTTCTAGACCTGCATGTTTTATCCTTACTTGATCATGATGAATAATTTTGGAATAGTCATTAAGCCATATATGATGGTTTGGCGTATTACTAGATTGAATAAAGCTTTTAAAAGTATGGGACAGTGTATGCCTTCTCTATTAAAAAAATGGTTTAACATAGGTTTCTATTTATCCTTTATTTCTATGTTTGTGGCTTTTGGACTTCTTGTAATGCCTGTCATTCGACATATTTCGGGACAATTTGTTTCTAATGATGGCAAGGAGGCTGTTATCTCTGTTGTAAGTATATGTATAAAGATTATGGATGCAAAACTCACTCTTTTGAAGTTTTAACTAATTATTTATGTTTGCTTTTAAAGTAACAAAGAATTTAATTTTGCATGTAATATACTTTCTATATTAATGATCAAGGTGGGCATAACTTTCTATCATGCCCCTAGATGAAATTTTTTTTTCTTCTTCTATATTTATGCAATTTATTTGTTTTTATTTAGTTTCGTATTGTATATTTGTTTGTTTTGTGTTAATTCAGTTTACCTGGAGAAAAAAAACATTTTTAAACGAAAACATTAATTAATAAATCTCGCAAAATGAATGAATTGCATTAAATTTTAAGATTTTAAGTGAGCAATTTTTATTTGCTGTTAATATCATATTGATACTAAGAGGTAATTATTGTATTTTCCATTTGTATGCAAATTTTATTTTTCACTGAAAAAAGTACAAATTTAAAATAAAATATTTAATGAAATGTAGAGCTGGTTGAAGAATAAAAAAATTATTTTATAAGTTTTAAAAAAATCAAAGTTAAATTTCAGCCCTTTTTCTCTGACACCCCTAAGCAATTGCGTAGGTTCACATAATGGTAGGTCTAGTTCAAATAATATTTTATGCTAAAAATAGGATAACACACATACCTTAATTTCTAACAGGTGAAGATTTATACCCGCCTGAAGCATTAAAAAGAAAGACCCTGATCTATCTCTCTTTTTTTTTTTTTTTAAAGTGCCATTTTTGTATATAGAAAGTGGCTAGTAACAAGAAAGAATAGAAGTACTTGGTGAAAGTTTTATTTTTTTAAAGCAATTTTTAAATTATTAAATCCTTAATACTTATAAGCATTTTTTTCTAATCTGGGACTAGGACTGCTTTAAATAATGATTTTTTTTTTTTATAGAATAAGATACTTTTTATTTTCTTTTTTAATAATTTACCAATTGGAGATTTGATATAATATATGTATTAATAAATTTTAGTAGAAAATTACAAAAACCAATGTAAAAAATCACAAATGTATTAAAATACTTTAAATTACATAATACAAAAAAAAATTTTGTCCTTAAATCCCTTTGACATAGAATATTTTTGAAACATACTTTCCTGCCTTTTTTCATTACATTGTATTAATTTATAGGTCAACTTAAAGGAAAAATATCATATTTAGTATTTTAATAATTTATGCTTATGACATACAACATGAAACACCAGTGTATTTCATGACCATAAATTATTAAAAATTATGGTTATTGAAGAAATTGTAAAATCTTTCAAACTTGTCTCACTTCTGAACAATAATTTTTCAAATTTGCTCTTATTTGCAGTTATTTTGTTCTAAGAGAAACAGTTATTCATAGCAGTTATTCTTTAATTTACAAAATCAATAATTGATAAATTTTTGAATATGACTGAAAAATTTATTTTTCAAACTACTCTTTTTGAATTTTATATTTCAAAAAGATGTAATGTAATTCTGATTATCTAACATATTTTTTATAGCAGCTATTAAACTGTTTTTAATAGTTAAAAAATGCCAAAATTTAGTTTTGCTTGTAATTAGAGCATTAGAAAAATATATACATATGGGACACTGGTGGCCCATCTGCATCAAAGGGTTAAAATATCAATGCTTAATATTTAATTATTACAATACTATAACTTAAAATACTTCTAAAATGGTGCACATTATTCAGTTATTTCAGACCAGTTACTGATCCCACAATTTAGTGAATTATTTATTATAAATTTATTTTTAATCACTAGAGCAATAACTTTTAGAGTTTTATGTCAATTCGACAGATATCAAAAGAGGAGTAAATTAATTTGAATTATAAACATTAAAAAAAGTAATTCTAAATCATTTTTGGCAACAGAAAAAAAAATCTTTCTTCATTATCTAGTTTTACTCACTACTCACTTATTTGATAAAGTTTTAAAAGCACTTGTATATTAATAAACATAAAACTAAATGGGTATAGGTATACTATAGATTAAATGTAGTAAAACAACGAATATATTTATTGTAGTAAAGTAACAAAATTATTTTACATGTAAATAATGAAAAAATTATAAATTAAAAGTTATAAATCGGGAATACAGTAATCATTTCTTAGAATTTTTAAATGATGAATTGAGGGATGGTTCACTAAAATTACTTGTAAGAAAATGTTAGTGGCACATCGCTGTGTTTTCATTTTCAAGATTATTGAAACTTAAGAAATCATGACTAAACAAATCTTGATTTGGATAACAAATTTTAATTAAACATTGGTATGAGAAAATATTAAATAATAGATATAATTTTTTTTTTAAATTTTTTTTTCTTCCATGCATTGATTTTAATCTATTATGCATTATTCGGTGTTGATAAAATTTTACAGGAAACTGTTAGCTTTCTATTCTAAACAAAGTAATTTTCAAACTAAAAATAGTATTTTTTATTATTCTTCTGTGAGGAAATATACTTTTTTTTAGTTTACTGTCCATGTTCTTTTACAAGTATTCTAGTGTTTGTGTACTGTTCCAAAAATCCTGATTTTTTTGAAAAATGTCTTGATTATTTTCATCTACCCATTATGAAGCCCACTTTCTGTGAAATAATTATTTTAATTTATGAAATCATTCAAAAGATATGATGAGAAGTGTGACAGACAGATAAAAATAATATTACAGTAATTAAACAAAATAGTAGTAAAAATTATAAAAGCCAGCTTTTCATAACTTGTCTTTACTTTTATTTTGTAGGTGATGAATCTGAATTTGTTGAAAAAAGGTTTTTTTTTCTTCAAAAAAGTGCATATTTGCATTCAAATAAGCTTATTCTACCACCATTACAATACAGTAGGCTGTTATACAGATTTTAAGGCATTTATCTGAGATATTACCACAGTACTTAACAGAATGAAAAATCTTTCCAACCATTCAAAACTTACAAGGATAATCCTTTCCCCCCTTTTTTGCTGACTGTACATTACATACATTATCAGGGGTCTGTTCAGACATTTTGTGAAAGGTTCTGTTTTTGTAACATTGTGAAAAAACTATTCATAGTTTGTGAATATGAAATAAGTGATAAGTCACATTTTTTCAACCAGGTCCTGCTTTACTGAATTTGTGCAAATGGGGTCCTGTTATTGCAACAATTGCTAAAAACCTTTTCAAGAAGTTTATAAATTGTAAATAGATACAAGATTCTGCTCAACAATTGCTGCTACTAAATTAGAGATGCAACATAGAAATATTTGGCATTTAGCCGATGCTGTTAAGCACAGAATATTCATTTTGGACGAATAATGGAAACAAAATCACTCACATTTTTAATAATTTCAATTGAAATATTTTAAATAACACAACTTAGTAATGTATGTGTTAATGTGTTGTGCATTAAGTAAATTTTAACAATTTTTAAATTTATAATATTTTATTTAAAAAATTGCAAGAAATTAATTTTTATTTACATAATATTCTATTAATTAATTTTATGAATAAATATAAATTGATCAATTATTTATTTACAAAAAAAATTAGGATTTAATATTAATAAGAATGCACACACGATGTTTGTAAAAGTAGAAATATTTTCTTGGAATTCTACATTTGGAATTTAAACTTAGGAAACTTAGTTTGTCTCTAACCGTCTCCCCCCCCAGGAAGAGTTTATTTGATTAACAAAACAATAATGAAGATAAACAAATTTGTGAAGAGTCCGATTAAAAGATAAATTATTTTGTGAAGGGTCCGTTTTCATGAAAATATATTTTGTGAAGGGTCCGTTAGCGAACCCAAATTTCTTCTAAACAGACCCCTGATTATGAACTTCATTTACTAATTAATCAAAATAATTTTACTGAAAATTATATTTAAGCAGTAGTGTTGTTTTTAAATGAATAAATAAATAAGAACATCTTTTTTCATTACTGTTATTGGAAACTAAGCAAACTTTTTACTTTAATATTTATTATGCATGTTGAATTAATTCAACTATCTTCATTGTTGAAAGATTCCTTTTTTTTCCAGTGTAATAACAATTTTTACATATTCCTAAATTTATTCTAAAAGAAATAATGTTCCTATACATTTGAGACTATTTATTTACCTCAACTTTTTTAAAGGCAGTATTTTTTTTTCCCTTGCTACCTATTAGCTAAGCCTATCCATTGCCTATTTATTTTTTATTGTATAATTTTTTTTAATCAAAACTGAAAAAAAATCCTTCTTATCAGCATATGTTTTTATGTTACTTCATGTATAATGATGCTTAATTTATGAGCCTAAACCTCAATGAAAATAAAACAAAATTTATGGTTGTGACCAACTAACAACCCAATAGTGCACCATTAGTGTTGAATGATCACATGTTTGAGAAAGCCACTGACTTTAAATACCTAGAAACAACTGTCACTTACAAAAATGAAATTAACGTAGAAATTGATCACCGATTGATGTTGGCAAACAGAGGCTACTCCGGTTTAAGGAACTAATCAAGATCAAGACTCATTAGCGATAGAACAAAAATCAGTATGTGTAAAATACTAATCTGACCAGTTGTTCTCCATTGCAGCATAAGTTGAGAGAAAAAAGTATTACGCAAAAGTTTAGGTGCTATCCAAAAAGTAATGTCTGGCGAATTCTCTACAATTATGAAATATATAATCAAAATAGGCAACCTAGTGAAAACTATCAAATCAAACGGAATAAGGTTTCTTGGTTAATTATTTTGATCAGGAGGTAACAGTTATTTGCTCTTAGGTATATTATACTTTTGTTTTGATCAGAAAATGAGAAAAAGAAAATTATTTTGGTGCAACAACTGCTAATAATAATGATATAAGAAACATTAAAGAAGATACTAATTCATGAAAAATAAATTTTTTGGTTTTATTAATAAGCATTTATTTGATATAAATTAATGAGTTCTTTAGTATACAAATTTGAAACCAAGATGTTTCTGGGGTTATGGTGGCAATATCTAGAGATCAATTGACACCGTGGACTTGAAAATGAAGTGACATTATAGAGTACACACTAGAGTATTTTGAAAAATCTACTTTATAAATACCTGCATTTTTGCAATTTTCAAGAATAATATTTAGTTAAATTACAAAAATAATATTAATAATGAAACAAATCTGTGACATTACATAGTATTCTTAAAAAGAGATGAACTTGTTGAGGATTCTCCAATGCATAAAAGTTACATTGTGCTAAGAGTACCACCAAGTCTCATAAAATCGATGCTTGTATAGTGAGTCTGAAATAAGAATCACTTTGAATAACTTCTGTTCTAATGATCAGATTTTTACTTACTAAATGACATTCTTAATGGCTTGAAAAATTGACTTCAGATGTGATAATTCATCTCACTGATGAAAACATATTTGGATGACCCTTTAAAAAACTTATAATGTAATTGCATAAAAACAAAAATATTTCCCTAAATCTAAAAACAGTTAACTGTATACTGTTTAACTGTTAGCTTGTTAAAAAAGTTATGCAACACTTGTGAAAATTTCAACTTTTATGAATTTTTATTTTGCGTTATTGTTTTTTGGTGTTCTTAGTTTAAACTTTCATCTATTAGCTGTAGATGACTTTGGATGGAACTTCGGGTATTGATTCCTTATTGCTATAAATGTTATCTTTTAGCAAGGGATGTTGCATAACTTTTTTAACAACCTATTATCTATCAAAAACTGTTGATTGCAGAATTGTATTAGTATAATTTTGTCAGAAAAAAATTATTAGAGAATCTAAAGTACCCCACGTTTGTATCTTAAATTGTGATCGGGTGGCAGTCTTTTCCTACACGTATCAAAAGATACTGCCAAATAAAGTAAATATTCATCATCAATTTATTTGTGAACTGAATAACACAGAAGTTGAATCAAATTTGTCAAATAATTTGAGAGTTATAACATTTCAGAAAAGCTTAATTTTTAAATTTTTATTTCTCATGATTTGTTTCCTTCTATTTTGATGGTCATATCCAAATCTGTTTAAAAAAGGGCATTTATTTCTTACAGATGATAGTATATTTTTATATTTTTCCCTCAGTTATTATTAATAGAAAATACGATAGCTAGAACAAAAGTACATGTTAGTAAAATGTTATTAGTTATATTAAGCAAAAGTTATTCAGTTTATGTCATTTTTATTGGTGCACTGTATCCCTTTTGTATTTTTGATAGAAAAATTTATCTAATTATAATAAAAATGTTATTGTTTTTCCTATTTAGATTCCTGGAATAACTACTCCATTTCATCACATTATTTACATAGTTCCTGCATTAATAGTTAGTGTTATTTTTCATGAATTTGGACATGCTCTTGCTGCAAGTAGGTAAGATAATTGAAATTAAATTAACTGAATTGATTTTGTTTTTTGCCTGGATTTACAAGGGGAAATGTTTTGTGCATGCATATTAGTGAACAGTAGGAGGAAGGAAAATTATCAGAAAAATACATTGTTATGCTTTATTAAATATAAAGTTAAAAAAGTGAAATGAAGATAAAATTGTTTCATTAGAATACTAAAACGGCTAAATATGGCTGTTTTTTTAATTAACAAATAAGTAGAAATGTCGTTATGCTGTACTTAATCATTTAAAAAAAATCTGAAGAACTTATTAAATTATTGTAACTCAAAACTTAATTGACTGTGCAAGTGGTAAAAAATACTAAAACCATTAAGTATTGAATGAAATTAACTGACCAAAATAAAGCTAAATACACAATAATAAGAAATAACAAGCAGGCGAAAATCATAATTTCTTAATTGAAAAAGCTTAATTGGTAAAAACAAACAAGTGTGACACATTGAATTGCTTTAAGTATGAGATATTTTGCAAGAAGAATTACTTTTGGAGTATTTCGTGAGGCGTATTTTCTCAAGGTCAATTTTTGTTCCTTTCAATGTATTTGCAGGTGCATTGCAAATTAGAGAGAAAGATGGAAATAAAAGGAGACAGAGTTTTGGAGAAATATAGTTTAATTTTTGGTTGGGAACAAAGGAACTTTTTTTGTTAGTCAAGTTCATATTTCAGTAGAAGGGACTCTTGAAATCATCTTCAAATCAATAGTTAAGCAAAAACTTTCCCTTTTCTCCTACCCCATAAATATTTCATGGGGAAGAAAGAATGTTATTCAAGGACATGGGCCCTGGATCTTTTCAAACCTGTTCAGATTTTTCGGTTGGCTACCCCCTTTATTTTAACTGGTGTCGCATTTTCCCATACCTCTTTCGTTTTCCCAGTATTTCCTCTTTCTCTAGCAATCTAATAAAAAGGTTCGAAGAAATGCCCCTTTTCTACCCAGCTGCTGCACTTGTTTGGACATCACTACAGGATTCAGTTGCGCTCCTTTGAAAAATTTTTCTATCTTCCTGCATTTCAGAGAAGCCTTACGCACAGGATGGTCATGGTAGTTCTCCCCCCTCCTTTCTGGTGATTTATGAATGACTAAAAGTGGAGAATATGTGTCAAATGACACTCAATGACAATATCTGTCAATGGGAAAAAGGACGTCCATGTATGGTACTTAGACTTAAAGGTTGAGCAGCTCCGAAGAGCAGAGCAAATCGACCAGAGGTCTATTGTACCCAAACCCTAAATCATGATTAACAAGAAAGCTTTATACCTGAAATAAAGTTCAGCAAACACCTGATGGGAATGCCTTGCAATTTTCAGGCTTTAATGCAATGTTGGCCTAAATGCACACATCTTTGAGCAGAATAAACCTCATAATCACAAAGTATATGTCTCCTTCTCAATAAGACAACCTCGAGAAAGATAATCAGATTCAATACCCATTATTTATAGGTGTCTCCTGACGGTGCAGTGTCCAGTGAGAGGACCAATGATCTTCCTCAAACTGTTTCTGTTTAGCTTAAGAAGCTCTTTTTGACGCACACTAGGACAGTCACGATTTAGTTCTTTAGCTTGTCTGTGACCATCCGAGTTGCGTCACTGCTCATGGGCAATTTTGCCATATAGCTTGAATATAGATGCCCTGAATGATGTGGGAGAGATTCTCAAAGCTGGTTTAGTACCCCAGAAAATCGCACTGGCCAGTCCATGCTGCTTCATCAGCCAGCTCATTTCCAAGAATGCCCATATGTCCCAGGTAGGTATATCTTGTTATGACTAGAAAAGTCACAGAAGACCGAGAAGCACTCCCACTCTAATGAAGAGGTGAATTTACACCTTGATGGTGATAGGAGAGCAGCCTGACTGTCAGAACAGATATGAATGGGTATATTTGGATAACTCCGGTCAAAGCATATCCTGCAGCACATGATGATAGCAGAGACCTCTTCCTGAAGAACAGTGGCATAACTACCTAGAGGAAAGTGAAGTTTGGTACCATCATTGGGGCAGTAAATTCTTGCCCCTGATTTAAGACCAAGCCTTGAGCCATTGGTGTACCATACTAGACATTTGCCTTTAGGCCACCTTGGAGATTCAAGCCATTCATCTCTAGTAGAAAAATGGATCTTTAAGGGCTTATGAAAAGCATATCTTAGTGACATAATCACTAGGCATAAAAAAAGGAGGGAATATCCAACATTTACACAACAAGGTGACCCCATGACATGTGCTTGGAATATTCCTTCCATAAGCCAAGGTACATAAAATGTTTAATACCAGTCTGAGTTTCAGCTTCAATGCGTAGATTCATAGGGAGAAGGCCAAGTAAGCTCTCAAGAGCAGATGTGGGTGTGGTCCTGAGACTGTCTGACAAAGCTACTCAGACCATTCTTTGTAGTCTGACACAGCTCATCCTAGTCCTGGACCACCAGACAATAGCGCCATATGTGACAATAGGACTAATAATAATTGAGTACAGTCAGCAAAAAAAAAAAAGATATCACCCTGAATAACTTTCGTTCTAATGATCGTATTTTGACGAACTAAGTGTCAATCTTAATGGTTCCTAGGGGTGACCTCAAATATGCTAATTAATTAGTGCTAACTATTAATTAAGTTACGAAATCAGACACAAAAACGTACCTTCTCTGAATAAACATATATATTGTTTTACATATTTGGATCCTTAACCTTCAATATATAGGGAGTAGCCGCAATCTGGGAAATGTGGTCCCCATAGTTTGATCAGGAGAGCGATTCAAAGTTTGGACCCCTTAATGTTAATTTTGCTTTTTGCGTTTTCAGTTATTTTAAAAACTGATGAAGCAATTCAAAAAAAAATTACACCCACTCATAAAACTCATTTACCCAAAGATAATTTCATGAAAAAAATAATTTTTGATAATTATTTATTATTTTTTATTATTTAATTAAAGTGAAGATGAAAAAAAGTTGAATTATAAAGTATGAATTTTTTTATACCATTTTAATCGACATATTTTTCAATTGAAAAATCTAAAGTTTCAACTGTTTTTATTTATTAGAAGATGAGAAAAATTAAAATAATTTATTAAAAAAAATAATTTGGCGACAATGAAGAAATGATTAAATGGGGCGATTAATATTAAAATGTGATAAACTTACGAGGAACTTAACTTAGTGCGCGTAGTGAAAATTTCATTCATATTTTTTTCGCTAATAATCGTTTGCAAATCTTTTTATGTTTCTTTTTTAAAACTATAAAATACGATGTTTCTTTTATAATCGTCTAAAATTCTATTTGCAACTTAGTGAAGAAATTTGAATAAAACATCTTATTGAATAATAAAACATTTTATTCAACGAATGTCGAGTTTTATAAAAGCATGCTTCTGATAGAATATGATTATACACCAGATTGTGCTTATTTAATGTGATTATTTTTTAGTTTTTTCTTCTCAATAACTGATACAATTTCAATAATATACATATGTATGAATAGATTTGGAATAAAATATTTATAAATTTCTTGAATATATTTTTTATAAATATTAATAAAAATACGTAGTCAACATATTTAAGCATATCTCACATCATCGCAAATTTCTCAACATCTTATGTATCGTCTTAATGTGAGAAGTAATTTTTTAATCACTTGTTCGGAAGTGTTTCGCAGAACTATTTTACAACACTATTTAATTAAATATTAACATTTTTAAAAATCTTATTCTTTACCCTACTACGTTTATTATTTCTTCATTAATATACTAATCAATTTTTTAGTACTTTAATTTAGGTTTTCTTAAAAGTGAAGTTCCTTTTTAAATTATAGTCAAGTTTTTTTTTAAAAGAATTATTGTCTGCTAGCTAAGAATAATACCTTGTAAAGAAATTAAAAACATTCCGCTGTTTACAAATATTTAATGCAAAACAGCTGATTATTTACTAAGCATACTATTTTTTTTTCGAAAAAAGAATATAAATCATTGATAGTCTTTTTTTTGTTTTGTTTCTTGTGACATCAACATAGATTATCTGAAATAGTGTTGATGCTTTCAAAGTCACTACAAAGAGTATAAAGATACCGAACATAAAAAGCTGACGAATACGTAGCCAAAATTTTTAAACGTCTTAAAATATCTCAGTATCTTAAATGTCCTCCTAACATCTTAGTTGTGAAATTAAATTTTTAATTATCTGACCATGCGTGATTCACTAATTATTTCATTATATCTTTTACTCTTTCTTCTTGAATACAAGTAAATTTTTTTCCGGATAATATGCTAAACTATTTTGTTTAATTTTTTTTCTTTAACACTATTCCCAAGATATTATTGTACTATAATTTGTTATCAGGAGAATGCCTTATTTTGTTAAGCAGGAAATACATATTATAATAAGAATAATTCCGAAGCCGTGCCAATTTTAGAACCATCTGATTTTTAAAAAAAATGCAGTAAAAAATATGCAATTTCCAAACTTATTTTGATTTAAAAAAAAACGTGGTAAGAATTCTAACATACTTTTTACAGAAACTGAAAACCAAATTTTCATACATTTCGTCAAAAGACGATAAGAATGATATTGCTCCAAGGGACCTACTCAATAATTTCGCTATTTCCAGAATGAAATCTGCTTGATCAAAACATATTTCCTTGAAAATTAAAACGAGAAAACAATTAACTTTTATTATTTATCTAAGCTTATTCCATTTATTTAATGATTATCAGTATCAAGGTTAAGGATATGCGATGGAAGCCCTGTTTACTATTATACTATAAATGCATTAAATCAGGTAGCTTGAATATTCTATTTTAAGCAAATTATTTAATAATTTTAAACAAATAAGGGGGGTGTAAAAATAAACTCGATCAAAATACTCCGAAAATATACCCTAAAATATATGTAAAATAAACTTTGGAATCGATATATAAAAAATACCTTTTCAAACAACTTCGAGTAGGACGGAAACGCAAACTTTTTTGAAATAGATGTCCTTGTAACTATTTAATTTCGATTCCTGGTGCTAGGGGACATTCCATTTTCACATTCGACTTTTGAAATTTAAGGCTTGCAGCAAAAAAAATTGTACTGCATTGATTTTTTTACAAAGTAGTGAATTATTATTTTTTTCAATCTAAGAACCTGTGCCTATAACTTATGTAAAACTTATTTTAATATCGAGTGAAATAATTTAATATGTTGTGTAACTAAATAGATAATCCTAAGAAACTGAATCGAAAATATAAAAGCTTCGTTGATTTAAAAAATAATAGATGATAATAAAAATAGACATGTTTTGAGCGTCCAATAATAAAAGGCACAAGTTATTCAAACTTGACAAGTTTTGAGAATGGGCGATTATATTTGAACGCTCGAAACATGTCGACTTTTACTTCCCTCTTCATATTTTTTGAGGCCAGGTGAGTTTTTATCATCAATTATACTGTTTTACATTTGGGCCTTGATCATAATTTTGATAAGGATTTTACACTCGTTAAAGTAAACATAAGCATTTCTATATTTTAGCAGGATTTATGTGGTCTTTAAAAACGTAATAGCATCAATATTGTAAAAGTTATATTTAACTTAAAAATTAAAATTTTGAGACCAGATATTTTGAGTTAATGAAATTAAATATTTTATCTTTTAAGTTTTTGTGCCCCCATTTCAGTATTTTAAGGATCTTACGAGCTCTGTTTAAAAAGAGAGTATCAGATATATGTAAGAAAACAAAAATAATCACAGTAGCAGTATTTGATGGTAAATGTAGCTTATCGTAATTGAAGAATATGGCGTGCGACATTTTATGGTGAATTTGTGAACGTAAGTTTCAGAATGTATCGAAACATGAGGATGCTATTTGCTAATCATCTTTATCCAAAGAAAACCATGTAACCTAAATATCTAGCAGAATGAAGCGATTTTTTAAAGAATGAATCATACAATATGCAACTTATTATTTCAATATCTTATTCTTAAACATAACATGTTTCAATGTTTTTAAAATGCCACTAAACATTCAACAATTCCTTGAGTTATAGAAAAAAGAAATATCGTAAATTATAGAAAACCTTGTGAATGTGTATTAGAATTACTATACAATCTACATTCAGGGATGTGATTCTTTCGCGGATCTCCGCTTTCTTTCAGATTGTTCCATTTTCCCCGCTAATTTCCGCGGAAATGTTTTTTTTTTTGAACAAGTTAAAGTATTTTATGAGGAATTTAAATTTCCGCGGAGCGGAAGTATTGAAGGCCTCATTCCTCCCCCTGAAGTTTCTCTAAAAATCATTTCCTTGGGATAAAACTGGTTGACCTTTATACAGGGATGAGATTTTTTCACTTTTGCCTCTCGAATTTCAGCCTTTTTATCAAAAACTCCGATTCTCTAAAAGTTTAGTTTTTTTTTAAAAAATAAATATCTCGCTTTTTTTTTTTTTTGAAAATTCAGCTGTTGAAGTAAAATAATTATATTTATTTGCAATTTTCAAAGATAAACAGAAAATTCAAACTACGTCCTAGCTGCCAACCTTTCCGTATTTTTACTTATTTTAGCTATTTTCTCCTCTTTTACGCTCAGAAAATAAGATTTTTCGTATTTTTATTCATCCGCCGGATATCTCGTATTTTCGCAATCCAGACGTCGTGACCCTGTCGTCTGGCGTGAAAGCAAATGTAAAAAAAAAATAAAAAAAATAGAGGTGGATTTGCTGTGAAAATATTTATTTGCTTATTCAATTAATCTTGTAAAATTTTATTTATTGTGTCTAAACAAAAACAATTCAAACAAGCCTTTTAGAAATCCCAAGTTCAGACTCTGCAAATATCTCGATTCTTATTCACGCGATTGTAATATCAATCATCGATTTTCGTATTTACCTGATTTAAAAGTTCCGCATTGCAATTCTTATTTACGCTATTTAAACATCGTACATTATGATTCTTATTTACGAGATTTAAAAATCCAATATCGCGTTTTTTATTTATGCATTTTTAAAATCGCGATTTTATTATCAAGCATCGATTTTCGTATTTACCTGATTTAAAAGTTGAACGTTGCGATTCTTATTCAGGCGATTTAAATATCGTACATTGCGATTCTTATTTACGAGATTTAAATATCCAATATTGCGATTTGTACTTACGCGCTTTTAAAACCCTGTGTAGCGATTCATATTCACGCGAGCTTAAAATCCAATGTCGTGGTTCGTTTTTACGGTTGTAATATCAAACATCGATTTTTGTACTTATACGTGCTTTAAAAGTTAGACAATGTGATTTGTATTCGCGCGATTTAAAAATGATGCATTGTGATTCGTATTTACGTGATCTAAAAATTACGCATCATGATTTGTATTTTCTCATTTTTTAAAATTCGATATAGTGTTTCATATTCACTTAATTTAAAAGCCTCATATCGGGATTCATATTCTCTCAATTTAAAATCATGCAATTGATTCATATTCATATATTCATGCAATTTTTAAATTAATCATCGGGATTTATAATCACATGGCTTACAAGTTTAAAAATCGCACTTTTTTTGTTAAATTTCTGTATTTATATATACTTGGATTTCCTCTTTTTTACTTTGACTACTCTCATCCCTGTACATTTTATTTTTCAAGCAGTTTTTGTTTCTTCAAACTTTAGAAGACCTAGAAGACTCAATTAAATCTGTAAAAATGATTATCCCTAAAATTTTGTATATAGCTATAATAAGTTACGTCAATTTGATTTTAGTATGAAATCCTCGAATAAATATAGCAAAAACAATATATCTAAATAATATCAGGTAAAAAGTTCATGTATTTAAATTCTAAAAACTTAGAAAATCATAAATAATTTATAAATTAATTCAAATTTTCTTTTCAAATGAGTTAAAAATTTTTTTTGTTGCTTTTTGGACAGAAATCAGCTTTAAAATTGTCTATTGCCTAGAAACTTCGAGATATTTTCTATTAACAATTAACTAATCCTCTCCCAGCAATCACAGAGCATTATTTCATTTTTTTTTTTTACATTCAGAGTTACACATACTCAACCTAGCAAAATTAAGCATTAAGCTTTTGAATTAGTCAATGGGTTATCTTAAAATATTAATTTGCCCTGGCAACTTTTTTTGGCGGTTTTCTGGACTATCGCCAAATATATAAACCTTTATTGCCACCCAATTTTTTTTAAAATTTTGTCTACCCCAAGTGTCTAGATTCCAAATATGTAAAAAAAAATATATGTTTATTCAGAGAAAGTACGTTTTTGTGTCTGATTTCGTAACTTAATTAATAGTTAGCACTAATTAATTAGCATATTTGAGGTCACCCCCAGGAACCATTAAGATCGACTTTCAGTTCGTGAAAATCCGATCATTAGAACGAAAGTTATTGAGGGTGATATCTTTTTTTTTTGCGGATTGTACATCCAGTAAACTATCTTGGGGGATAATTCCCAGGTTTTACCAATTGCCTTTCTGCAAGACCAGAATATCTTCTTGGCCCTGTGGATACATTATTCTAGATAACCCCAGTTAAGTTTGGAGTCATAAAAAACCCTGAGAAACTTAACTTTCTCAGTGAGTTCCAACCTATAATCTAGGTAATACACATCACTTAGATTTAAATGCTTTTTCCTGGTGAAGGCTACAAGACTTATCTTGGAAGGGTTAACAGATAAGCCAGAATCAGAGCACCATCTATCAACTTCTAGAAGTGCACCATTCATGATTTCAGAGACTATTTTGCCGCGCTTTCCTCTGACAATAATAGCACCATCATCAGCATACCCAACATAGGGAATGCCAAGATTGGCTAACCGAACTTATATAGGGTTCTTAATACTGTGTGTGTGCATATATATATATATATATATATATGTACATTTCCAGAAACAACACACTTGTGTTTGTGTATCACTGCACGTTACGAAATATATTTTTTTAAAAATATTTTTTAAAAATATTAAAAACTTTTTTTTTAGGACCATTATTTTATTTTTATAAAATTTTATTTACTGCACATAAGCTGTAAGTATATAGAACTCATAAAATAAGTTAAAAATATCGAGAAAACGTGGGAAATAATAAAGATTAATGAAAGGAGAGGAATAAAATTATTATATTAAAATATTTTTAGAAATATTTAAAAAAAAATGTATTTGAAAAAAATATCACATGACTATATTTGCAATATATATAATTGTGTGATATCATATCGTATTATAATCATGCGTGTGTGAGCTGATGAAGAGATTATTTCTTTTTATTATTTTGTTTTCTGGCTTTTTAAAAAATTTTTTTTGAATAAAATTTTTTAAAAATATATTATACTTATAGTTTTCTTCTTCTCTTTTCATTAGTCTTTATTATTTTCTATGCTTTCTCTATATTTTTAACAAATTATTAACTTATCTATATACTTGCAGTTTATGCGCTGTAAATAAAACTTATTCATTTTCTTCATTTTTCTTTCTTTTCTTTTTATCCTTTTTGTCTCCATTGCGCTATATATGTATAAAATATATACATACTAAGACTCTTTTGATTTCATAACATTGTGATGGAGGATGTGGGTCCTTGGTAGTGGGCTTTTGTATTTTGTGTCAAATATGCATGTTTCAGTATAGGATATTGTCCACTGAACTTATATATTTTAAAAAACTGTAAAAGAGCAAAAAAATTACTTTAATAAGCAAATTGTACTGTAAATAAAAAATCTTTCAATTAATTAAGAAAATACAAAATTTATGAAACAAATGGGATTTTATCTAAAAACTAGGAGGTATGCCATTTTCCTGTGTACCTTCTCTATTACATTCCTGTGTGTATTGAGTTTAATATTTGTATTTAGTACATGAAAATTCACCTAAGCTTTTGTTTTAAAATACCCAGTTTGAAAAACAAAATAAAAATCTGATTTAAGCTTTCAAAAAAAAAAAAAAAAAATGACTAACTTCACCCAATTTTTTTAAGGTCTTTTCACTGTGCTATTTTTGAAAAAAAAAGAGTGTTTCTGAGTTTCTTAAATTTTATTATTGTGTTTTGCATGCTGATTTCTTTATATTCTGATCATGTGTTTTTTCTGATCAGGTGATAATCAGTTTTCTCTTTTAAAGAAACTTGACCACTCAATCTGATATTTTTAATGTCTTCTCATTGTACTGCCATTAAAGAAGAATGCTACTAAGTTTCTTAAATGATATAATATTGTGTTTTGCTAGCTTATCTTTTTGATTATGATAATATTTCTATTTTTAGGGAGAAAGTGCCTGTGGAAAGTTGTGGTTTTGCTTTGGCTCTAATACTTCCTGTTGCATTTGTGAATTTGGATTATCGTAGAATGAGTATTTGCTCTTCCAAGCAGCAGTTACGTGTTTATTGTGCTGGAGTTTGGCATAATTTAGTTTTACTTCTCCTTAGTCTATTTTTTGTTAATTATGCACCATCTGTTTTGTATCCACACTATCAAACTGATGTAGGAGTAACAGTTTTAAATGTTGAAAAGGTAAAATTAAAATCTTAACTTTTTGTATTTGAATTTTTTTTTCTTCATCTAAAGGTTATTATTTTAGTTAAATAGTTTGAGCATAATGCTAGTTTATGTAAACATAATGTTGTATATTTTTTAGCAATCTAGTTTAGCTCATTTTGGAGGTTTAACTAAAGGTGATGTTGTGTCCTCTATTAATAACTGTGAAGTAAGAAATATAGGATCTTGGTTCAATTGTCTTGTAGAAACTTCTCTTTCACCTCCGATGGGATTCTGTTCTTCAAAGAAATTTATTAAAGATTGTAAGTTTTAAATATCTTAAAGAAAAATTCAACTCTATTGAAGTGAGATTGATTTTTTTTAAGAACTTATATATTTTTTTCTTTTTTTAGATGGTAACATTTCCCATTCTTGCATTAACTCTAGTGATCACTTGTTCTTTAAAATCTTTACTGATGAAGTAAGTTGAATTTTAATAATTTCATTTCTTTAATACAATACATATTGTTTTGCAATGTAGAAACAAAGTATTAATTTTAGGTAAAAAAAAAGTTATTTGCACTTTTTGAATTTTGATTGTTGTAGCTATACAATTATACTAAAGAGGCTTCTTTCTTTCTGACCAAACTTAATTGTCATAGAGGAGTAAATATGGAATGAAGAATTTTAAGCATGCTATAATTCATTTTTATCGCAATGAATCTCTGCTCGGCAGTATCTTTTGAAACATGAAAAATTCAAGTTTCAAAAGCTCATTGTATTGTGCATGTTTCTTTTAAAATGTGAAAAATACAATAAAATCACTCAATTAAAGTAGGAAAAATAAAGCTTGCATTATTCTAAAATGGGAAAACTTTCTTTGACAGAAATATAACAAGACAATTTTGCGATCAGCATTTTTTGAAAGGTAGTTAAGTATTATGCATTTGCCTATTTTTAGAGTTTTGTTAAATATTTATATTTTTTCATAATTTATGTCAATAGTTTTTCAATGGCATTAAAATTGTTTTTCATCATCAGCAGTAGAAGTAAATTTTTAAAAAATCTAGAATTTGATAATAGGCATTATTAAGGTATTCGTTTCCACAGAATTTTGTTTTAAAAAAAGGCATAATTAAAATTTTAATTTTATGTTTGGTTAACAGAAAGTCCTAAAATTGTAATTTTAAAGTTTAAAAATCTATAAAATATTTTTCAATATAAGGGCAAACTTGAGGTTAAAAACTACGAATTTTTCATGTCACGCTAACAACTTTTCAACTACAGTGTAACGTCCCATATCCGGACGTCCCTTTTCCGGAAGGGTCAATTTCCCGGACACTTTTTAACAATCAAAATAAACAAACATTTCTTCATCTTCCCCACTCTCTTACTTTAGNCTGAAAACTAATTTTATTTGTCTTAAAGTATATCTTATTCAAATAAATTAAGGTAATAATACTCGAAGGAAGCCAAAAAAAATTTTAGTTTTGTTTTTTTGCGTTTACTTCTGGTTTACTTTCATGTCACGCTAACAACTTTTCAACTAATTGTAATGCATAAATTTCAAAATATACTTTTTCTAGATCAATAATTACTTGTATTTTGAATTAAAATCTTAAAAAAATAATTAATAGAAGTAATTACATTGTTTAATATTCTGAATATTTTTACTCAGCGCCTCATAAAAATAACAAATTAAAACTTCAACCTTAGCTTTTAGTTCAAAACATTGCTAACATTATACAAAATCCACATTGAAAATTTCAAAGAATTCTGTAATAAACTTTTTTTTGATATGTGTGTTAGGGTAAAGAAATTTTCTGAAAATCAATGTGTTTCAGAAATGCATTTAAAATTCAAGAAAATGTGAAACGTAAGAAAATTCTGACATCAAAAAAATTAATTTCTGAAAACTAATTTTATTTGTCTTAAAGTATATCTTATTCAAATAAATTAAGGTAATAATACTCGAAGGAAGCCAAAAAAAATTTTAGTTTTGTTTTTTTGCGTTTACTTCTGGTTTACTTTCATGTCACGCTAACAACTTTTCAACTAATTGTAATGCATAAATTTCAAAATATACTTTTTCTAGATCAATAATTACTTGTATTTTGAATTAAAATCTTAAAAAAATAATTAATAGAAGTAATTACATTGTTTAATATTCTGAATATTTTTACTCAGCGCCTCATAAAAATAACAAATTAAAACTTCAACCTTAGCTTTTAGTTCAAAACATTGCTAACATTATACAAAATCCACATTGAAAATTTCAAAGAATTCTGTAATAAACTTTTTTTTGATATGTGTGTTAGGGTAAAGAAATTTTCTGAAAATCAATGTGTTTCAGAAATGCATTTAAAATTCAAGAAAATGTGAAACGTATGAAAATTCTGACATCAAAAAAATTAATTTCTGGAAACTAATTTTATTTGTCTTAAAGTATATCTTATTCAAATAAATTAAGGTAATAATACTCGAAGGAAGCCAAAAAAATTTTTAGTTTCGTTTTTTGCGTTTACTTCTGGTTTTGGTTTTGTCTGTCAACATACAAAAAAAAAAAAANAAAAAAAAAAAAAAAAAAAAAAAAAAAAAAAAAAAAAAAAAAAAAAAAACTATAACTTCATTCCTCAGAATTGTAATTAAGAATTTTAAAGTGGTTTGGAATGTTAATGAACTAAAGTTTAAATATGGGTAATAAAAAAAAATTGACATTTTCGTCAAAATTGTCAATTTTCACCTTAAAATACACATAAAAATTAGCCACAGAATTCACGTTTGAGAAAAAATCTTTATCAAGTGCTATTTCTCTTTATATAATAAAGTAACACCTTTATTTATTTATTGTTTTGAAAATTGTAATGCTGTCAAATCAAATTATCATAAATATTATTTTAGGAGCAAAAAGTCCCACTCAAACAAAAATGAAAACTTTTACTTACAATCCAAAATGGTGTGCAAAGGCTCCTTTTAACAATGTTTTTTTCTTTTTTTTTTTAGAAGCTCTGTCACCAAGCAAATTAAAAAAAGCCATAGTTTAAGTACCTTACACTTGAAGTAATGCAATGATTTTTAACAATGTATATAATCTTGCTTTGAAGAATTATGTGGACTTTAGAACAGACGAATTACTTAAATATTTTAAAAGTTATTAAACTTCTTTAAAAATTGCCAATTTGCAGCATTTTTCCAAATCAAAATTATCAAAATCACTACCTTATTCTCAGTTTTTAAAATTTTTATGAGCCCAAGTAATGCAGCATTGGAGTAAGTTTTTAAATATTAAAAAATTAAACAGCAAACTTTTCATTTTCACAAAATTGTGACTTTTAAAAAAAAGCGTAGACAGCCTGGTTTTCGATAGGCTAAACTTGAGCTAGCAGTCATGAGTAACAGTTGCAAACTTACAGCAGTCATAAAAATAGCATATTATTCACAAAAAAGCATAATTTCATATTAAAACGGAGCCTTCAAAAAACAGCCTTAACTCTTAACGTCTCGTTTATCTTAGTATATATAAGAATACAATCTTGGCATTAACATTAAAAAAATACATCTGTTACCTAACAATTTCTTTAAGGTTTCTTGTTCAAATAATTTTGTAGAAAGCAATATAAAAACTGTAATTTTTTTATTATTGCTCTTATTATTTTTTAAAATTAAACATAATGTTTAATAGAGAGTAAGTATGCCCAAATAAGTCTTTAAGCAGCATTACTTAACTGTCTTTTGTATAACAGATAGTCAAGATAAAATTGAATACCTTTTGTATTATCATGTCATCATAGCTTAGTAATCACTTTAAAATTTTTGATTTTTTTTCCTTGCTTTTCAAATATACCAGTAATTTCTTTTAATCCTTTTGCATAAAGTTAAAAGGGAATTCAAGTAAAAAAGTTTTTTAAAGTTAGATGAAAGATATTAAAAACATGTTTTCTATTTTAAAATGTATTTTTTTAATTTTTTTTTTGAACCTATACAGTTCTAGAGGTTGCATTGATAGTTCAAAATTAGATTTAATTGATCTTTCAGTCCTTGAGAAAATATCTTGTTTCAATGAATCCTAGAGGTTCCATGAAAGTAATGAGTTTTGTTATGAAATATCAGAGATATTTTGTTACAAAACTGGTATGAAATTATTTCTCCTCTCAAATTTGTTGCAGTTTACTTCTGAATCTTTACTAGTTCAAATTTGTGTTTTGCACTGCATACACTAAATTTTATTGATTATGTTACTTTTCTGCTGTTTTAAGAAATGGTAAAAATTTGTGTATTTTCTACTATTTTTAAATTTTTATTAGGATTTAATTTATTGAATACAAGCTTTTTTTTTCTGAAATTTTATTTTCACTCCAGAGATTATACAAGGTGTTTTAGCTATGGTTAAAATGAAAGGACAAAGCAGATATTTAAAAAGAATAAAAAATCTTATCAGAACATAGGATAGTTAACACTATTTAGAGCCCCTAGTCAGGTTGCAAATTATATGTAATATACAAGGACAATAAACAAAAATCCTTTTACATCATTTTATTTTTGCTGTATTTCTGCACATGCTACATATTTATGACCAAAATTACTATGAAAGAGGATTAAAGTTTTGGTCAGACACCTGAAAGTATTCATTGCATCATGCTGCATGAAATGGTGTACCTTGTCAAACATATCAGAAGTATCTCAAACGCATCCAATTGTTGTAACAGGCTGGCCAAAACTTTGAGCATCTCTCAGAATGGTTTTTGTTTATTGTAATTCTATATTATGTCTAATTGGAAACCCCTTCTGGAACCTCTACTAGCATTTGCCTCTCCATGTGCCTATGTGATTTATTATTCTGGTACAACTTTTTGATTCTTCTCAACTATGTTGCTTTGATGGCAATATATAAATAAAGGAAAATAAACGTTCACAAAATGTAGTTCATTGATTTATTTTAAAAAATATATTAATGTAAAAAATATACCGTATATCTTGATCTATAACTTCTACTTTTAAAAAAACCCATAAATTGTTTTGACTTATACACAGCAATAAAGTCAAGCATTCGTTGATTCTGAAATAGCAATGCATTATAAACAATGAAATAGATATGACTAAATCTGTATCAATTTAACCCTTTCAAAAACCATTTTTAATCTGTTATTAATTTTGCATTTTCTCTCATCATACTTTTTGTTTATAAACAATACTTTAAATTACATTCTGAAACAAAATTAAGTGTAAGAAAAGTTAAATTCAAGAGTATTTCAATGTAAATAACTTCAGATAATGTAGTAGATTTAATAATTTTTTATGTTTTTTAATTTTAGAAATTTTTATATTTGTTTTTTTCAGTTGTCGACTTACACACTCAATGTGCCAGAAATTTGATATCTTGTAATTAAAAATAGAGGCCGACTTATATACTGGCATATACGGCAGTTTAAAATTTTCTGACTCTTATTTTGAATCTGGATCTAATTTGCCAGTTTTACTCATGAATAGTTTTTAGTACAGTTAGCTATAAATGTTAATCCAGTTATATATTTTTATAGGTTAATAATTTTATATGCTTGCCTGCTCGCAAAGCTATTGATGAAGCGACATTTTGCCGAAATAATTCAGACTGCTTAGAGAAGCTTTGTTTAATGCCTGTTCTTTCAACAAATCAAGAAAAAGTTATCAAAGTGAAGAGAAATTTTCAGAAATCTGTATTATTCATTGGATCTGTTGATGAGTTTTTTTTAGGTATGCATATTGTGTTTGAAAACTTCTAAACAGAAAATTTTTTGAACTCAAAACATCAACTTGTCTCAAAATCATGCCAGTCTAAAAAACTGACTTGTTATAACCATATTTCTCACTTATACTATGGATTTCAATCAGAATTGGACTTCTTACTAATACAGATTTTAATTCTTAGGTAAATAGTTGGCAAAACTTAATTCATCAGGACAAGAAATAAACAGGATTACCTATTTTGGATAAAATTTTATCAAATATTGAAAATAAAAAAAATGGACTCAATAAATGAAAGTTTATTTCGAAGATATGTAAAATATTGTCAAAATCTAAATTATTTATTAAAAAAACACTCTTATTGTTTAATCATTTAGGATAGTCAAGATAGTAAAAGGAGCCTTCCTTCCAGCTTGCAAAGAATTCTGAATTCTGGCAACTAAAGGCTGTTCCAAAATTTATGCAAGATTATATATAATTTTTAATTTAAACAAATTACATAGAATAGGGTTATGTATGGTATAACACATCAGGCAAATAACCTCCATTCCTTTGCTAGCACAAGGCAAACTTTTTTGTTCAAATTTTCCATGCTCATTTTGCATAAATGTGGCAAAATATCATTTACGATGATTTGTTCACTTTAGTTTTCAAATAACCTATTAGGAAAAAATCTAATAGCATTAAATCACACTAGGTTGCAAGTTCAGATCACCAAAACACGAGAATACACAACCAGGAAAGGTGCAGTAGTTGGATTATTTCATGGGGCTTTCAGCAATGAAAAATCATTGTTCTTATTTGCAGTGCTGAATTGTTACAAACTTTAAGCTATCAGCTATCTAACTGTTTTCTTTTTTTGGTTGCCAACACTAAGTAATTGATTATATATTTAATTCAAATCTTGTGTCAATTTTGGAACACCCTTCATGGAGGTGTCTGTGCTTAGTACAATTAAAATGGTTATTTAGACCACTCATGTAGGTAAAAAAAAGCCTTGTTCCAAGCTTGTAAAGAGTTCAAGTAAACTGTTTTCTATAAAGGTGTTTGTGCATGATACACCATTAAAATAGTTGAGAAAGAAAAAACTTCACCAATAGAAAAATTAAAATTTTTATCTCATTGCATACCTGCCAAGTCTCCTGTTTTTTAACGAAGACTCCTGTGTTTTACGACTATCTCCTGTTAACCAGTTTATTCTCAAATTTCTCCGTATTTGTTGAAGAAACTAGAAAAAAAAGAAAAAAGATTTGGGATAAAATAGCTGTTGGTGGCAAAAATACTTCTCTTTTTCCTCAACAGATGGTGCTGCAGATGTTGAGTATTAATAGTTTATGTAATTAAGAATAATGGTTTAAAAAATCTTCTTTAGATTCATATGAAAATTCTTCTTAGATTCATATATAAATTTTTTACTTTGCTAAATGTAAGTGCTAATATTATTTCCAAATTTGAATTTCTCTTTTTGACTTACTTGATGTATCAAAACTTAACGCATAGCCTTAAAATATCGCTAGTTAAATCTCAGTTATTTTATTTCTCCAATGTTGGCAGGTATGTTATTGTTAATTTTTAGAATTTTACTGCCATTTATATGTTTGTGTTATCATTAAAATAATATTTTTAAGCTTTGATTACTATTGATTGAGAGATTTTGCACCAAATTAAAAAATTTATATTATAGATGTATCTATACATTTACATTTTAATTTAAATTTTAATGTTGATATTAAAATCTAGAATTTCTTTGTAGTTTTCACCTAGAACATATAGATTAGTTTTGGCTTAAATTTAGTATTAAATGAGGTATTTTGAATCAAATTAGAAAGCTATTATACAGACAATAGATTTATATATTTACATTTTAATTTTGCCATTAAAAATCAGAATTTCTGCAGGGATTTCTCTAGGAACATATGGATTAGCTTTAGCATATTATTTAGTCACAGACATTTTTTTAATAAATTCACTATTTGTTTTATTGCATATTCATGTAAAATGTTTTTGGCTAAGGAAATAATGACTTCCAGTACTATTGTTCGAATCAAGGTTGAAAAAAAAATCATATTTTTTTGTTGCTGGTTTATTTGAAACAAAAGGTTGAATAATAATTTATGATCTAAATTAAAAGTATTTAAGCTATTATAAGGTATTATAATTACTTTACCTTACAACTTAGATTGCAAATAAAAATTTAATATTTATATTAAAGACTGAATTTCCTTTCGTTAGTCAATATATTTATAAAATATCTCATATTTTAAAATTATTTAATGCCATTAATTAATTGTTTTCAATTCACAACATTTATATCAATTTAAATAATAAGATGATCATGTTTTTCCCCAACTGAAATAATACAAACTTTAAGGAGAGCTTGGAAAATTCAGGAATATCTGAAAATATTAGAATAATGAAAAATACTAAAAATATCATATTGGCTGCATACAAAGGCATATATATAAAAAAAATTAAAGGTATATTTTACTGTTAATGATAAGTAAGAAATAAAAAATTTCTTCTTATGATTTTAAGCATATCATTACGCTTATAATGCAATATTGAGTTAAATAATATGCATTGTTTAAATTTTAAATGAATTTTGAATATTTTTAATTATGCTTTTTTATACTATTATTATTTAATATTAGAATCAATAACATCATAATATGTGGTGCACACAATAATTTGTTTATGCTGTTAACAGAAAAAATAAACCGAAAAATAAAATATAAAATGCAGAAAAGTACCTCATTTTCATTTATACTTTTGACTGTAGTGAGAGTAATGTATTTATGCTTGCTATTAACAAGATTAAAAAAAAATAGTAAAACTTTTGATCTTAACTTGCTCTATGATTGCTTTTTTTTTTTTTAATAATTTTAAAAACTATCTGAATGTAGAAATGATGATGGTCTATATTATTCGTAGAATTTTTAGAGTCATTATAAGACTTAACTTTAAATATACTACATTAATTATTTTATAATTATATTTTAGCAGAAAAGCATTATTAAAAGCATTACATTTATTCATTTAAAGTAACAAAGACTCACATTAGCAATTAAACTCAAGATAAAAAAATTTATGGGAGAATTTACTATTTTTCATTTGGTTATAATGAAACTATATTTATTTAAATAAAACTTCAGTTATTTAAAAGATTTTTCATTAAAAAAATTTTTCATTTAAAAAAGCCAAGCTTGTTTTTTTTTAAAGAAAAAAAACTATTCGGTTTATAAACCATGGTTTAAATCACATGAGTTTAAACTAGCCAACCCTGGTTCCAATAATATTATTGATATTTATAAAAATTTCTTGTTTAGGATATAGCTATTATAATTTATGAGGAACAATGTATTTAGTATGTATAAACTTCTTTTACTTTACGTGTATGCATTTATATGTTAATTAGCTATCGAACAATTGAAAATTTTTATGAATCCTTCAAAATTCATAAATTATATGATATTAAGCATTTACTTAGACCAACCAACCAACCAGCTACCAATTTTTCCAGCTTTCTGGAAAGATTTAATATTCATATTTAAAGTACTTTTATATTTTATTTTTGATTTATCAAATTTGATTTTTAATTATATTGACTTCAGCAAGAAATTAACAATTAGTTTTATATTTGTGTTGAAAGAATATTTATCTTTCATCACACATATAAAACTAAGTTAATTTCAACACATGTTTAAAACTAGCCATTTGTAGTATTAATCATCTGGTCTCGACAGATCCAACATTGATATAAGCTTTTCACCAAACCTTTGGTGATAGATGAACTGTTAAAAATGTTATTTGATAATGAGCAAATAAAAAATACTAGAAATTATCCATATAGATATGACTTTTTGTGTAAACATCCAGCATGAACCTTAATTAGAACCTAGTAGAACAATAGCATTTGATTTTTATTTTGTTTTTTTTGAACAGATTAATATTATGATGTTTAATTTATAAGCAACATAATAACTTTTTATCTTTTTATTTGTTTAATTACTTTTTTTAAATACATCTCCTGGTGACAGTCTTTTAAATAATAAGGATTTTTCTTTTGAAAAAGTAAGGACTCCTAAAAAAGTAATTTATTACAGAATTGTAATGATACTATTCTATTTCAGTTAAAACTAGTTCATGGGTTTCTGATGTCAAATTTCCCAGCATTGAACTGATTACTCATTTGGAAAACTTTTTCAAGTATCCTTTTAAAACTATATTTTCTATTATCATTTTTAACTCAAGATAAAGTATATTGCCACCTGATTTTAAAGTATATAAAAATTCTGTTTCAATTTTTTTTATTTATAAGTATGTAAATTATATTATTAGATGTAAATTGTAGCTCTGAAATTTTGTAAGACATAGAATTTCTTGCTGTAGATTAAACTCGAGTTAAAGTAATTTTTTGTAACTTTTTGAATCAACTAATTTTTTTAAATCAGTAAACCCGCTTTAATTGGATGAAAATTAAAATCTGTATTACATAATAATTGGATGAAACTCAAAAATTTTCTCGATATGCCTAAAAGTTTTTTTTCTTCCAAAAATACCTTTAACTAAGAAAACAAATGCACTATTTTGAGAAAATTATTTCACAAACAGCTGATTGTTACAATTTCTTTTCTAATTTTCTTTCAGAATTAGGCATATCAAGATCAATGTTAGGTATCTGATCGATGTTAGGTGTACTAAAATAAGAGGTAAATTGTTCAACATTTAGCATACTTCTGAAGGAAAATATAAATTCATTGCTTACTTTATTTTAATATTAGGAAACTGCAGCCTTAGAACTTTAATTGAGGAGATAGTCTGATAACAAGTAAGTTCAAAATTTGTTTTCCTCCTTTTTTTTGTTGCATTTTTGACTATGAACTGGAAGCTGCTTTGATTAGTTGAATGTAGAATCAGTTCTTTCTTAAACAGTGTGGGAGGAAACTGTGTATACTTATTGACTTATTAAATTTCATTTGGCTCTCATCAGCAATTAGTAAATCTAGATTTACTTGGTTATTGTAGTATGCTCTTCAATTTAAATTAAAAAATTTTGTTCCTTAATATGAATATAGGTATCTTGCTGGTATTTGTGGTGGCCTTATAATTATGAATGTTATTCCTTGCTATTTTTTGGATGGTGGACACATTATTGAACACTTACTTGATTATACTTATAGATTTTTTAAACAAAATCTATGCTTAAAAAGAAAAACCTATCTGGCTACAAGATTCAAAATTGTAGGTTTGGTGTTGTTAGTTGTCAACATTCTTTTAGGTCTAAAGAATCTTAAAGTTATCAATTTGTAATTTTTTTAGTTTATAAAGTTGTTTATTATTTATACCATAATATTTTTGATACTATATTTATGTGATATACTGTTATTTTATTTTTAATAAATAATTCTTTCTTAAGTACATTCCATTTCCTGAATTTCATTTTTATCAGAAATTTTTAAAGCGATCAATATAAATCTTTTCTTGAAAGTAGTTAACTCCCTCAAAATACAACCACCTTTCAAAACCTCTGGTCAACAATAAAATCTTTTCTTAGGTGAAAGTAGCAATTACTGAATGAATTTAACATGCTGAAAAAGAGTATCACATTAAAAAGAGTCTATTGAATCCCAGTGCAGAGGTATTTACATTTGTGTTTTAAAGGTTCTTACATAAAAAGCAATTATCATTTTTATATAATATATCCCATCAAGTACCTGCAAGGGAAATTCCTTTGACTCATTGTAGCAAAAATTAAAAAAAGCTTTTTTTTGTGGTGCCTAAAATTAAACAGTTTTCAGAGACCCCAAGTTTGAAAAAATTCTTTTAAGTTAAGGGGGAACATGGAAGTATATAAAAAAGAAATTTTTTTTAATAAAATTTATTATAATTGTGATAAATTTAATAAATTTTTTTAGAACTTTTTACGCTTATTTTAATCTTTATTTAAATCATGTTATAAAATACAAAAATTTAAAAAAATAGCGCTTTTAAATTATAATGTTTATAACTTAATTTTTTAAATTATTCATAACTTGTTGCACTCATAATTTAAAAAAAAAAATTAATTGTCCAAATTTGATTCTATTTTGGTTTTTTAAAGGCTGTTTGAATGTAGTTTACGTTTCAGTGTAGCACATAGGATTTTGGAAGAAATTTTTTTTTCACAAAGTGATGTTTTGAAAAAAAAAACTAAAAAATGATATAAATCAAGTTACATTTTTGTGAATTATTTAAAACAACTTAACTCAATTAAAAAATCCATATGCACAAGGAAAACTATATTTATTGTGAACATTGTGTCAAAATTTGAAGTAAATTGATTGAAAATGTTAGAGTTATGACAAGTAAGAGAAACATAGTTTTGAATAAATTAAATTTAAAGTTTTATAATCAATAAATCATATAAATATATAAAATTTTGCAAATAACTGTAATCCATCAATACCAAGTCCATAAGATGCTTCTTCTCCATCGTTTTCTGCCGTCTCATGCTAGTCCAGCCCTGTTCCTTGTCAATCTACCCTCATGTTTTTAGAGTTTCAGTCAAAATTCTGAGGTAATCTTCATTTCAAGAATATTCTTTGGCTGCTGAGCTTACATTTGCAGTACACTCTCGATTATCTGTGCTCATTCCGGAGTCGCAAAAAAAATTTAAAAAGAAACATTTTCAAGATTAAAAAAATTTGATTTATGAAATTATAACACTACCAAATTTTTGGAAGCAATATTCGTTATTGGATTGCAGTATATGGAATATCAGCAGCATGGTCAAAGGTAAAATCATCTATGTTATCCCGATCTTGGAGAAAGATCATACCGCTTGATGAACAATCTTCTTCAGATGTTCAAGAAAAATATGATAACAGTATTCTCGAACAAGCAAAAGAAATCTAAGGTTTCGAATCTAAGGTCTTTGCGCTCCGTGCCACAGGTCCTGGGTTCGATCCTTGGGCTGGGCAAGGTTGACTTCCTTTCAGTTGATCACATTTTCATATTTCTGCGAGCTATTGGTATTTTATATTGTATATAACTGTTTTATCTGATTTTATTCACTTTTATTTCCTACCCATAAACCGTTTTACCTTTTCTGTGTATTTTATGGAATTACGCTTTTTATTGATTTTTATGAACTTTTAAAAATACATGTCTTGAGATAAACAATTTTATTAGTTTAATTTATTTTATGACAATGAAACTATTGTGTGCAATTTACCATTAGATCTAACTAAACAAATTGTTTGGCGCAGCATATCCTCCTTTGGATCTTGTGCCATTAAACTTCTACATTCAATCAATCAACCCTTCAATGAGTCGATAAATGAGTACCAAGCATGCTTGGGAACTAAATACTGGGGGTTCCGCATTCGGCTGACCACCTGACTGGAACATCTGCCCCAGAGCCCAAGGTCAAGAAAACTGAGATGGGCACAATAGGCCTTGGCCCTCTATTGGCTGTCGCGCCTCTGAGTTTAGTTTAGTAGGTTTCTATTGTATTTTGAACTATCCTTCGTGGTATCCAAGTAGGACACATAATAACTAAGGTATAAGTTTAATAAAACAACATAACATAACAATAACATGCTTGCAGCACGCATCAAGGTTAGCGATGAACATCTATTAGGAATGTGTTTATATACTCTCTGGAAAGGTAAGGCAGCGCCGTTATTCAGGAACTACAGACTGTCGTTGACTCGTAGTGATGACGGAAGGTGACGTCGATTGACATCACAACACCCCTTTGCCCTAGGATAGAACAAAGTCTTTGAACCTGCTTGGCCTGACGATGGTATGTCTGGACCTCATGGTTCTGGAAGTCTGTTCTGGAACAGGAACAGAAGACTCTTGATTTGGTATTGTAGGTTCAACTACTACACTTTGAGAATCAGCACTGGAAGGAATGGGAGATGGTACTTCAGTCTCGACACTCGTAGCTGGTGGAGATGCTATATTAGGATCAGACGGGACAGTCAACGGATCAGGAATACGCTTCCGCATTTGATCCACATGACGTTTAACTACCTCGCCTTCTGTAGTCACAGCTTGGTAGGAAACTGGACCTGTAGGTTTGATGACCGTTGCTGAAAACCACTTTGGACCCTGTCCATAGTTTCTCACAAAGACTGGATCGTCGGCAATGAACGATCTTGGAAGAGAACCACCATTTTTTCTATCCGCATCTTGCTCCTGTCTCAACTTCCTCTCAGCCGTTAGATCTGGATGGAGTCTATCTAAGACGGTCCTCAGCTTTCTCCCCATCAACAGTTCCGCAGGACTAGCACTTGCTGTTGTGGTGGGAGTACAATGTTGTTGAAGAAGGAACTTGGCAAGCCTCTTCCTCCAATTTCCCTTCACAATACGTCTTAGGGCATCTTTGACGGTCTGGACTATTCTTTCAGCCTGACCATTTTCGGACGGACGTCAGGGTGCGATCATGACCCTTCGTACGGGATTCCTCTCTAAGAAAATCTGGTACTCCGATGCTCGAAACTGACCTCCGTTATCGGAAACGATGACTTCAGGTATCCCATGGGTAGCAAAGATTTCTCGCAGGACGTCAACTGTTGCAGAAGCAGACGTAGAAGTCATATGACGCATTTCTATCCACTGCATATGACGCACTTCTATCCACTGGCATCTACTATGATGAGAAATTCTTGTCCCTGGAACGGACCTGCAAAATCTATATGAAGATGGGACCAAGGTTTCTCTGGAATCTCCCATGGATGCACTGGAGCTTTAGGAGGAGCATGACGTGTCTGTTGACATTCCTGGCATCTTTGAACATGCACTTCTATGTCGTGGTCCATGCCTGGCCACCATACGTATGAACGAGCGAGAGCTTTCATTCTTTTGATCCCTGGGTGTCCCAGATGCAGAGCCTGGAAAACACGTGATTTTCCACACACTGGAATGACTACTCTATTACCCCATAACAAGCATTTTCGATGGGTAGAAAGTTCGTTACGTTTCGAGAAAAAAGTCTGAAATTTTTTATCTGGTCTTTCATTTGGCAATCCTCTCAAAGCCAAATTTAGTACTCTTGACAAAATTGGATTACGCAATGTTCATTTTGCAATCTCTGCTGCCTGAAGCGGAGGATCTTGTAAGTCCTCGGTAAACAATTAAAGGAGCGGGAACCTCAAATTTATCAGTCTCTTTTGGGAGTCTACTTAAAGAATGTGTTTTGAATCTTTTTCCCTGGTCTATGTATTAGAGTATACTCATATGCATCAAGTATTAAAGACCATCTCGGCATAAGCGGAGACAAAATTTCTTTAGTTGGCTTATTTTTTGAAAAAATTCCTAGCAGAGGTTGATGATCAGTTATAATAGTGAATTTATGTCCGTAAACAAAATGATGAAATTTTTTTATACCGAACACAATTGCCAACGCCTCTTTGTCGATTTGCACGTAATTTCTTTCTGTCGACGTGAGCGTACGCGATGCGAAAGCTATTGGTGCTTCGCAACCATTTTCAAGAACATGACTTAAGACAGCTCCTACGCCAAACGGAGATGCATCGCAAACTAAAGTTATCGGCAATTTTTCATCGAACAGAACCAAAACCGCTTCGGAACTTAACAATTCTTTTAAATATCGAAAAGCTTCATCGTGGACTTCAAACCATTTCCACACTGAATCCCTATCTAGAAGTCTATGTAATACTTCAGCTTTAGTAGCTTCGCCCTTTAGAAAACTATTATAAAAGTTTATCAAACCCAAAAACGCTTGTAACTGAACTTTATTTTTAGGTACTGGAAAAGCATGAATCGCTTCTACTTTACTTTTGGAGGGGTGGATGCCCTTCGCATCGATACGGTAGCCCAAAAAATCTACTTCCGTTACCCCAAATAAGCATTTGTTCCCATTTGCTTTAAGTAAAGTCCCGCTTTTCTCAAACGATCTAATACTTATTCCAAACGAGCGGCTAACTGTTCTTCCGAACTTCCTCTGACGAGTACATCATCAAAATATGGAACAACCTCTTCTAAATTTCAAAACAAATCTTCGATTAAATTTTGAAATATTCCTGGGGCTACGTTAATTCCGAATTGAAGTCTTTTTACCTTATGCGTGATGATAGTCTGAGCTTCAGCGGAAGCATCATCAACCGGTAATTGTAAATATGCTTGAGCCAAATCTATCTTAGCATAATAACCTCCACCTCTAAGATTAGAAAGAAGATGATTTACCGCGGGAATTGGATAAGGATGTGCGTTCATTGCTTTATTTAACGTGATTTTATAATCACCGCACAAACGTACTTCACCTGACAGTTTAATCACTGGAACAACCGGTGTTGACCATTTTGGATTTGAAATTTCCTCAATTACTCCTTCACTTTGAAGTTTTGCTAGGGCGGCTTCAATTTTGGGCCTCATTGCCAAAGGCATGCTTCTTACTTTACATCTAACAGACACCATATCCGAATTTATAGGAAGCGATACTGGATTACCCGTATACGAACCCAATTTGTTATCAAAAATATCATCGTAATTTTTAAGAACTTTCTCTATAATTCCAGTTCTCATTTCGTTTACTCCTGTTATTGAAATTCCTAAGGGTTCAAACCAAGAATACCCCAAAATATTCGTACAGTGATTATTTGAAATTAACAATTCTAACTTAGATTTGAAAAGGTTATGCACAACTTCAACTTTACATAGGCCAGCTAGTGAAATCCCATTTTTAGAAAAGTTGCGCAGTTTAATTAAAGTTTTTTCGATCGCGGGTTTCCTAGAGCGTAAAACTTTATTCAACGTTTGCAAAGAAATAATCGAATAATATGAACCCGAATCAATTTCCATTTCTAATTTTTCCTTATCAACCTCAACAATAACGTTTTTCTTAAACGGAGATTGAGAACTTAAAACAGTCAAATATTCCGGTTGAACTTCAATTTCATTTGCACACTGTTTTTCAAATTTATTTTTCTTCCGACAAACTTTTACAATGTGACCCTCAAGACCACAAGAATGGCATATTGCATTTTTGAATTTACACGTAGAACGTTCATGTTTACCACCGCAACCAAAACACGCTTTAGAATTTTGAATTCGCGATTTGCTACTACCTGAAGCATTAGAATTTTGTTTACTAAATTGCGCATTATTTCTTTTGTTCCTACCACGTACAAAATCAACTACATCCGAATTCTCAGAATAAGAAGAATTTTGGGTATGAATATGCTTTGATTGGGAAGCCGCAACCTCAGATGCTACGGCAACAGAAATTGCATTTTCAAGAGTTAATTTGGATTCAGCCAATAATCTTCTTTGAACCTCTTCATCACGAATACCGCAGACTAATTGATCTCGCAAACGTTCTGACAAAGTTTCTCCGAAATTACAATCTTCGGCAGTGCCGCTATTCAGGAACTACAGACTGTCGTCGTTGACTCGTAGTGATGACGGAAGGTGACGTCGATTGACATCACAACAGTTTCAACGTGATGCATGTGAGCCTGGCTTCTAGTATTTGACAGATTAAGACATCGTTATGTTGTTAAATCAAATAGTGATGATAGTAACTGATGCAGAAGATGTAGTAAATGAGGGAAATACAATTTCTCATTTTGCTGTTCTGTGGAAACTTTATTAGATTATATGGGTGACATTACTGCAGTTCGTAAAGCATGTGTATCGATATATAGCGAAGACGTATTATAAATTTTTTTAAAAGGAAAAATCCTAGTTTGATGTTATACAGCATGCAAATGTCAGTAATTTTTATACTTTTTGTACTGATACTGATTTTTTCTTTAGTAAAAGGAGTTTTCGGATTATCCGTGTGTTTCGATTGTCCGTGCAACCTGTCCTGGTGATTAACCCGGATAACCGGGAGTGCACTTACCCAAAGCTTTACATAGATTTTATGAGGAATGTGAAATGCACATTTGTAGTTTGAAGTCATTAAATGTTACTGCAGGGAGTTATGGTAATTTACTTTTGACAAAGTTTTTTGTTTTATTTATTATATTTCCAATGGCTCATTAAAAAAAAAATTGAAGATCAAATAAGGTAACAATAAACCTTTAACTGAGAGTGAGCAATCCAGTAGTGTTCCTAAACTGATGTTTGGGGAAGAGCAGGGCATCTAAACAGGTGAGACAAGTCCATCTTTTTGTGGAGATCACTCAAGGTACAGAAAAAGTCAGGAATCCCGTTGATGCGACATAGATGTTTATTCAGGCAATCCTGTCCAAATATCAGACGAAACATGGTGACAGATTTCATTCTCAGTCTTTGAGGGACATTAAGAGTCTGTTTGAGCCATGGTTTATAAGAATTGCTATTTTTTTAGTCATCCACCGAAAGAGTCCCTGAAGATGTTCTTTATTAGACACTTAACATTATTAAGAGGAAATTTGGAATTAGTTCTCTGGAAGAGAGGAAATTGCTCAGGATCTTCTGCCTGGAAATAGACCACCTCATTTTCCTGGATTCCACTGTTACTCAAGACAGAAATATAGATCATTTTGCTAAATAAACATTGCCTAAGGTACACCACAAGGAGGTAGATCTACAATACATCCCGCTCTTGCAAAAGGTATCAGAAAATTTGAATTAATTGTATAATAGAATGAGAAAGTCTAATATTGATTTTGGTATTGTAGAACTGATTTCTTTTATTAGAAGAGGGGTAGAATGTATAGAAACATCACTTGTGTTATCAAATAATTCTAAAAAAATTAAGTGGTTGTTTTGAAACACAATTCAAAAAGTGATTAGAAAATTGAAATAAAAGTAATAATTGAAAGTATTGATCAACCTCAGCATTAATTTTTGTGTCAAATGGTATATTTTGTAATTCTAAAACTCTAAATGCAAAGAATTGGTCTTTAACTGTTGATGAAAAGAAACAAGTGCTTAAGGATTAATTTTGATGTTTTAAAAAGTATTAAATATCAAAAGTTGTTTACAGCCTGAAAAACCATTATGAGACCTGAATTGCAATGGGGGTTCAAAGTCAAACTCCACATTTAACCTCCAAATGCTACTTTTGCTTCCATTCTACTACTTTTAAACTATTTCGCTCTAAAGCCCATTCACTTACCACCTATTGTATTCCTATCTTATTCTATTCTAACTGGTGAAACATTTCTTAAAAAATAATTTTTTTTCACTTTTCAGTAGCTCTTCTTTATGCAAATAAGCAGGGACTAGAAATAACAAGTATGGGTTTAAATGAGGAAATTTAACATTTGTTTCATATATGGGTCATTCTCACAAAAACAGTCATTTTCATGTCCCCAGTATATTTTATGTTTGTTTTACAGCTTACGAAAAAAAAAATTCAGTGAAAGTGTCCTTCAGAATGCAAGCTAACAAAAGAATAAAAATAAAATTATCAATTATTATTTTTTATTTATTTTAGGTAATTAAAATATACCAATATGTCATTCCCTCACTTGTCCCCACTGCTGATTTAAAAAAAGAAAAAAATTGTTTCTGAAATAAAAAATTTTTTTTACAAATTCGTGATTTTTATTTCAGAATACTGAAATATAGAATTTAGAAAATCAATTTTAAATTTAATTTCTGATAAAAATATTAACACAGCACTATTTTAAACTTTGTCCCCAGTGTTTCGCGTCATTCCCTCACAACAATGTTCTTATCACCTGCAATCTTCTTAGAATAAAAATATTTTAATAAAAACTTCAGAAGTTAACAACTGGCATCATAGAACAAAATTGCAGTATGTTTCCATCTTCAACTTAAAGAAGCTTTGCTGTGGAATAAATTTGAATGAATCAAACCAGGTAAAATTTTTTACATTTGTCATTCCCTCATGTCATTTTTTAGAGTAAAATAAAATACAACTTCATCGAGAAAGTGGATAATTATATGTTGCTTTCTTGTATGAATATAATTGTATGTGATTGACTTCAGAAATTAATTAGGCCTAACTGTTATTTTTAAATTTTATTGAATTCGTCATTCCCTCACTAGTGTATAAAGTGAGGGAATGACGCTGAAGTGAGGGAATGATTCAAGATGAGTATATTATTAAATTTTTTTTTGTTCAATCGTGCCAGCCAATTTTATTTCCCAAACCTGTAAAAACTATTAAATATATAAGACTAAATTATAATAAATATTAGATATACTTAGTATGTTATCATTTTCAAACTTTAGGTAGATGTAACTTAGATAAAAACATGTATTAAAATAAAATATCATTCCCTCACTATTAGTGTCATTCCCTCACTTTTTAAATAGTGAAAATAATTAATTTACTTATTAATTAATTTGAAAAATAAATTAAAAAATTAATAAATTAATTTATTAAATTAATTAATTTATTTATTAAATTAATTAATTAATTATTAATTATTATAAATTAATTAATTATAAATTAATTATTTAAAAAATTAATTAATTTAAATATTAAGTATAATTTATAGGATATATACTTTCTTTATAATGCCATTACATATTTCTATTAATATAAAAAGTTTCAGAGCTTTTTATTCACTTTACTTTTTTGGGATTTTATAAACTGAAAAATGACAGTTTTCGTGAGAATGACCCATATAATGATTTGGTTCCGTTAAATTTTATTCTTATAAATGGGTTATTCCATTATTCACTATGCAATTAAATGAGGACAACTGTATATCACTTGTAAAAATTTTATTCATCTCATATCTAGATAAAACTATTTCTCACTAAGCAGAGTTTGATACATATCACCTATCATAGATGTTTTTTTTTTAATATAAAAAAAAAGAAATAATTTTCAAGGATTAACAAAAGTCAGATGAATTTTTATGTACAGCAGTAGCTCAACAAATATCACCTCTTTTTCAACAAATATCACCAAAACTTGAGGTTTCAACAAATATTTTTATACAGTTTTTTAATTAAGTGATTTTGTTGCATTTTCACTTTTGATTTCTGCTTCTTCAGAACAGTCTTCAAATATTGGTGGGTACAATGTGTAGCGTGATTGTAATGAGCTACATGCCCGATTATTGTGTCTTTTCAAAGGCACAGTTGAATGTCCATTATGAATATATGAGGGTGATGTTGGTGAACTTTGAACAGAAAATGACTGTGTATAATGAGGAGAACTGGATAAAGGTGAAACTTCACTATCTGGCGATTTTGGAAATGGAAAAACTTTCAGCATTTCAACTGCAGATTTTCGTGGGCCAGAAGTCTGTGTACTGCTTCTAGCTTCTAAAAGCAACATCTTAAAGTCATGCATGCTGGTTGGTTTTGTACGTCCAAGTCTATCACTTGCTAGAGATTTTCTTTCATTAGGGGAACTACTTGATGGTCTAAAGTCAGCCCAACTTCGCCGGTTCCTACAGTCATTGAAATTGGATGAGTTCCTCGGGGACAGATATCCAGTTTCTGCAAGAATACCTTTCGTTTGATTCGGTTTAAAGATGGATGGTGAGGTTGAACGAGAAGAAGAACCTAAAGAAATGTCAGAGTCTGTTTTTATGTTCATTCGTTTTTTACAATCGTGTATCACGGCAAATAAATCTTCAGTAGACATGGTACTTTTTTGAAGCTTGCTTAGGTTATTGTCCAAAGGATTGGATGAGTTTGTTTGAGGGGATATCAAAGATTTATATGAGTCTGCAATAGATTCTAAATGCATTTTATTTAATCTCTCTATATTTTCTAAATGCAAGTTTATGTTTTCTTCTGTTAGCATAGTTTTGATTTTCGGTAGCCCCGATATATTCGGATCAGCGATTACAATATGTGGACAATGTCTACCAACAGCTTCTTCATAAGATGGGGGTGTTGTTTTTGAGAGAGTGCTCGATTCAGAAGAATTGAAGCTTTTAATTTTTGACTCATTTGTAAAAATAGGACTTTCTGTTTCACTATGGAAATAAATCTGCTGACCTGCACTTGAAATTTGTAATGGAATTCCAGGCAATCCTGAATTATCATTACTTAGATGAATATTAGAGAAAGTACTGATGTTGTTTACTTTACTAATATTTTTATCACAATAAGAAAGATTATCATTTGTCATTTTTTGGATGAAGGAGTTTTTTGGTGGATAACACGTGTGAGGTTTAAAGTTACATTTAGTATTTTTAGACATATTAATAGAGGATTGGGAAGGTATACATTTTTCATTCCTATTTCTTGTAGGATGTTCATTAGGATATTTGTAAGAAAAACGGCGATCAAGAGAATTTGTACTATAAATAACTTTTCCCTCTGGATCAAGAACAACTCGAGCTGCTGTTTTTTGCCCAGTTTGTAATGTTTTTGGTCGTTGAAGTTTTTGGGAACTGTGAGTAACATTTTCTATATTTCTACTCCTAGGTTGACTAAAATAGTGCGATTTTAATATAGTTTCATTTTCTTGCTCAGGTCCTTTATCATAATTTGCTAATAGAGATTTTTTACTGAGATTTTTATTATCTTCATCTTGCCTGGATATAGGAGTTACAACAACATGATGAGCATATTTCAGTGGTATTTCTGTATCATTTTTTTGAGAAAAATTGTCCAAATTGGTGTTGGAAATGTTAGCTGTAGAAATTTCAGTTATTTCTCTATGAACATTGTCTATTACCTTATTTTTATTACCTATGTGGGTGCCAGGTTTTGGATTATTGCTGGGTAAAAATGATTGAAGGTAAGATTTTGGCTCTGTCCCTGCCAATGGTTGTAAGTTTTCTTTCACAAACTTTGAAGACCAAGATATCTTTTGAGGAGAATTACTTCCATACATATCAAAACAAGGCGGAGTCATCGTCGATTTAGAATGTAAACTCATGCCTTTAGTTTGAGATTTCTTGTTAACCAAAGATGTAAAAATGCTTTTGTTGCTTTCTATTGAGCTTTTTCTTTGTTGAAGTTTATCAGATTTTGATGATTTTTTGGGGGAAATTACCTTCTTGCTTATTCTGGAAGACGTTTCATGGTTTGGTGATGGTTTTGAAGACAGATTCTTTGAATTTACATTAGTTGTTGAAAAAATTGGAGTTGTATTGCTAATTAATTCTTTCTTAGGAACTACAATAACAAAAGGAGGTGGAGGTGGTGTAGGAAACCTTTCCTGCCCAATACTAGTTAATGTCCCTGTGCTGGAATGCATTTCAGTGCCAGTCTGTGATAAAAGACTGTTTAAGCTGCCATCACTTAGAGTACTTAGTGATGTTGATGAGCCATATTTCTGAACCATCAGTTCTGAAGAATCTTCATCGCTGCTCATTAGAAAATCATCTGACTCCAAGGAAGTAGCATTGGAAGAGGCGGAGCTAAAACCTTCTGTATCTTTGTTTCCGATTGTAACCTTCGGATTTGAAACTTTGCAATTATTTTTTGACCTGAAATGAAGAAGTTATTTATATTATGGATAAATGACAAAAATATAAATGCATTATAACTTCAAAAGACCAAATTGTTTTATTGTCTCCAATAAATTTAATTTTATGCGTATTAAATGACTAAATTCATGATGCATGTGTCCTAACTGAATTCAGCTAAAAATATCTATACCATTGAGTAACTTGTAATCAGATTTTTATGTATAAAGATATAATCTTAAAGACATACTTTGAATATGCTAATCAGTGTTTTCATTACTTTTTAATAAAAGTAACACTATCTGAAGAAGATTTTTTTCTGACAAATATGATTTTTTGATTATCAGAATATGAGGGATAACAGCAAACTGAAAGATACAGTCCCAAATGCTAAAAGAGGTAATACCTTACTTAAAATTATACTCTTGTGATCTACATACTATTGAATCGAGTTATAATGAAAACTGTCACAGCAAAAATTTTAATGTTTTGAAGACTTTATTATTTAAACTTCTTTGCTTTGATGAAATTTACAAAAAATTATGGTATTCAGGGTTGGAACAGCTGTTGAAATTGTGCCAAGCTGCTCCAAAATCAAAATTTCTGCTCCAGCTGCTTTAAATACCATTTTTTCCAAAGATTGCCCCCAAGTTGAACTAAAACAATTATTGAGAAAAAAGCCTAACTTTGGCCAAAAATCAGTTTTGTTTCTAAAAAACAGTAAGTAATTTTTTACTAAATGTCGATTAACATGTTAAGTTAGGTGTGTTTTTTCCTCGATCGAATAGAGCATTTATTCCTAAAGTAACAATATTAATTCATCTATTCACATTGATTTCGTTTAAGCATTATAATACACCAAAGATCAAAGAGGGAACATAAGCAACTAGTTATGACATGTCTCTTGAGACGGTAAATCTCTAACATGGATAAAAATATTACCAAACCTTAAATAAAAAGTGAGCATCTTTTTCTATTGTATCAAATTACATCGTTGCTTTTACTTGATGCAGGAATTTTATTAGTTCTTATTAAAAGTCTTAATTTTCTGAAACTAATCTTGTTTTTAAATTTCTGTTTTTTCTACCAATAGAGAAAAATTATGAACGTGCATTTTAATCGATGGATAAAAAGGTAAAGAATTCATATTTTAAATAAGGCTCTGCTTTTTGTAAAAGCGATCCATAAATATGGGAATCCTGGTTCCTGAAACCCATAGTTTCCAAAGTATAGCAGAATCACTTGTCATAATATAACATTGCATTAAAAATATTAAAATTGAAAATGGTAAATAATGGAAATAGTAAAAAGAGGTTTACAAAAAATCTAGAAATAAGGAGTATTCTATAAAAATCTATAGCGTAGCCACATTTTTCAACGAAAAATAAGCACCTTTTAAGCACTTTGAAAAAATATTATAAATTAAGATATGCACACTAATAATTTTTTTCCCTTCATATTGTTGAAAGTTCTTCATATATTAACAGAATGCAAAACAGTTTTCTAAGTTACATGAAATAGTATAGATAAAATAGTTTCATATGTTAACTAGTATATGTTAACTAGTATTCATATGTTAACAAAATGCAAAATAGTTTTTTAAGTTACATGATCATGATAAAATAGCTAGTTTCTGACAAAGAATTCTTTTCCTGATTATATAAGCCACCATAAAACCAATTTCACAATTTTAAATACATTCGATATTGAGTGAATCATTCAATTTTTAATTTATAATTACTTTACGCAATTATGCAAAAAAAAAAATATTCAAAACTATAAATCATTTTTTTAACAATTATTTAAAAAGATTATTTATCTAGCAAAATGCAGCAGAGTTGCTCATAAGAATGCATAAATCCTTCCCACCTAAGTTTTCGAATCCGCAAATATTTCATAAAATGTTTGGCACTTTCATACGCTACAGACCGATAGTAAATATGTCGAAATAGATTGTGGTTGAATGAATTATGAAGGTTGAATAGAACAATATGAAAATCACGCTTTCTGAGTAATTCGACGCAAAATATGGTAAAGAAAAAAAATCCCATTTTGGAAAAGGGAAAATTAAGCGCTTTTTAAAAACACCCAATGAAAAAAGCACCTTTAGGGGCTTATAAAAAACGAAAGTCAAAAATAGCACTTTTTAAAAACACTATGCACCCCTGTATATAATCAGCATAAATAGATCAAGTCAAAGGTTATTTAAACCTTCAAATTGGACATGTTGTGTTTAAAATTTTGAAATTAGAAAAAAGTTCAAGTGGCTGAAAAAAATATGGTAAAACTTAAAATTACTATAAAACCACGGTGTCAAAAAAATTTTTTTTGAATGAATAGGCAACAGATATTTGTTACTGAAATGCAGAGCTCAATCTAATAATAATATTGTGTGTCATATGTAATTAAAAATATCAAAAAGTGAGAAACTACTTAAAAATCAATCAGAAAATTAAATGGCTTTATGATGGAATGGTAGTGAATCCAGCATGTATAAAAACTAATTATTGGCATTCAAAATTTATGCATTGTAATAAAGATATTGTAAACTACAAAACCATGCGGAAATGGAAAAAAAAAAAAAAAACTAACAGGGCTGTGCACTCCTACAAATTCTCTTTTAGAATTGACTCTGCATTAAGGTTTTTATATATTGATGATTGTATGTTTATATTATTGGTCGTGGCAAATAAGTGTAATTTAAAATAGGAATTTTTGTTACTTCCAAATATTGGCATATTTATCTTATTCAGATATTTAAAATGCATATTTGTAGAAAAATAATGTAAGGCTATGGAAATAAATTTCAAAAAGTAATTATTTGTTTATTTAAGTAATTCTTTTTTTGCATTTCTATTCTATTTTTTTATTATTTAACAATGCATTTTTTCCAAGTTCTGTTAAGTATGATATAAAGTATTAATTTTTATGCTCAAAAATATTATTTTACAAGCACTATGCTTTTCTGAATCCAAAGAGTGTTGGTTCCAATCTGCTCCAAAAACTAAATTTATTTGCTCCAAAATACACAAAATGATTATGCTGCTATTCTATCCCTGGCTATTACAAAAACTTAATCTATCCTACACACACTTAGGCTTTTCAAACTGTTAGGCACATAAGGCATCCAGCCTACTTAACCATGCTCCGGGGGCGATTTTCCACATTGTCGATTTCCGGGTTCCTCTTTGGCACTGTACTTTGAAGCTCGCCAAGTCTGATCTCATATTTTCTTGCAAAAATCTTCAAACATTATTTTGCCCATGTTGCACTTGGAACATATGATTTAAAAAAACGTATGAGTGAATAAATTTAACTGCTTTATAAATTTTTGTGCATTTATCAGTCTTTTTGCATTCGAATTTTCTGAAGCACCTTAATATTTTATAGCTTTTTATTTCCTTTTTAGTTTAAAACTTGTTATATAACTCTTTTCAAGTTTCCAAAAAAAATTAGGTTTTATATCTGATTTTTTTTTCCCTCTGTGAGTAGGATATAACTTTTTAATTATTTTTTATAAATTTATTTCAAATAATTTATGGTGTCTTTACCAAGTATGTGGCAACAATATTTAGTAATAAAGCAGGCTTTTGTACCTTATTGTTTAATTTTTAAATCCTTTAATTTAAGTAATTACACAATTTAAGTATTAAGTATTTTTTTTTATATTTAAGTTTTAAGTTTTTTTTTTTATATGACTGTAATGAAATGGAGATTGTTGCTGTTGGCTATAAAACCTGAATTTATTCTTTTTACTGTTTTTTACACTGATCAAATTTTGATGATTTTTTACGCAAATTTCATGTAATATTTCCTATTTGCAGTTCTTGGGCCAATTAACTGTTCGTCCATGCAATCATACTTATCATTAATACTTTTTACAATTCAAATGTGAATTTTTAAACCATTTACTGTTTTTTAACATTGCTTCTAATTTTTTGTAGCAATAGCTTAATAAATAGCTTTAACCTAAAATCTGCTACAATTCACTAAATATATATATCCTAAAGTTAAAAATGTACTGAACTGAACTGAATCAATCTAAATGTTGAATATTATTTTGAGGTATAATGCATTTGTTTTGTTTTAAATCACTTTAGATCCCATAAAAATTTTTTTATTAAAATATTTAATTTATATTGCTCAATAAAATATTTTCATTCATGAATATAACAGTTAATTTAAATTAAACTTATGTCATGTGATCGAATAAAAAAACCATTGCTTTTTCCCCATCTTTTTTCAATAAATTCACTGTTTGATAAGAAAAAAAACATATATTTTTTTTAAACTATCTGTTTAGTTTGGTATTTATTTTAGTTTTGAATGAGTTTTAACATTTAAAAGAGTTAATTTTATGCAATTATATTACTAAGTTGACTGATAAAAGGAATTGTTCCTAAAGCACTGATGTTTATATTAAAATTATCATAATTGTTGTCAACATGTCTAAATACTTGAGCGTACGGTCTTTCATTGCTCAACTTGTGTACAAGTGGCCCTTCATTCATAAAGTTTGTGCAACCCTATGTTATGAGTTTTTATTATTAAAAAGCGATTTATCTGGCCCATTGAAATCAGTTACAGGATTTTATACTGTTATGTAAATGCTTATTTTGGTTATTGAAGTTATTAAAATCAAAATTTTGTTTGAAGTGATTTGATTTTGATTGAAAATTTCATTAAATGTTAGACATTTAGTTGTATACCTGTTTTTAAAATTATCAGAAAATCCAGAATCTTCTCCAGTGATAGTAGAATGTTCCTTTTCCTTATCACAATCTGAAGAGTTTTGATCACTGCTATAACTCTGATTACTACTGGAATCCTCTATTCCACTCAGCTGCCTCATCTCAACCGCAACATTCATTGCGGCAGATATGGTTGAGATTGGTAGATTACTTTTTGGTTTTCTTTTATTAATCACACTATCAGAATGATGGTTATTTTTTATTTCATATTTCATACTGCCATTTTTTAAGACTTTGTCTTGTTCTGGACAACAGTTTCTTTTCTCAGTATTATCTTTACTAAATGTAATATCTTTAGGAAAATTATTATTTGTTTCTTGAATGGTAACTTTTTTGATGTCATTTCTCACTGCTGGTTTAAAAATGCTATTAGAAGTCAACTTTTTTGAAAAAGTATCATTTGGTACAATGTTATGTTCTTCATTGATGATATTTTGAAGTGCATTTTTCAGTTCTTTTGTGTCTCCTTCAGCAACGGTATTTCTTCGTTTGTCTTTTCTTTTCCGCCTTATAAAGAAATCCACCTAAAAATGAAGTTCAATTCAGTTAACTGCTTATTATTAGCAGACATTTACTATGACACATCAGTATTAAGAATGCATTTTTGAGTTCACATGGTTTTTGAGTTAATAAATGCTTTTGAAAAAAAAATCTGATAGACTTTAATCAAATTTTTTTTTAAATGCATGTACTTTATTTACATGTTTAACAATAAACTTAATCTATATTTTTTAAAAAGTGCATAGTTAAAGAAAAAATTGGTAATACAAATAGGAACAAGATATATTTATATATATATAATAATTTTTTTTCTTCATAAAATAGTTTCATTTCCAATAACTACTCTACTCCTTATCTCCTTTGTAATTATCAATTAATTTTATTAAAAAGATATATATATGTAGCTATCAAGGGCCAAAATTTCCACTCCCCAGCTTCTCATTGGAGATCAGATGTTTATGGCTGGTGAGTAAATACACTTAGGTTATTGTGCTTTAAACCAGGCGCAGGTGATAGTGTTTTAAAATCAAGTAATGCCATTTTCTTCTATTTAGAACCAAAAGTACCACGTCACCTGCGTTTTGTCTGTGAAAACAATTTAAACCTTAATTTATTTAATATTATTATTGCAATTAAAAGTTTTATTTTTAAGTTTCTATATTCATTTATGTTTATTCTTTATTCATAACATCAAAAAGTTCTTAAAATTACATTTGTTAGTATTACCCTGATATATACACATATAGTCATACCCTGATATATACACAAATTACCTGACATAAATACCATCAACATCAAGAATGCAGGAACCATTTAATTAGTATTCAAAAACACTGCACAAAAAAATTTTTAAAAAAAGAAGAAAAGTGGAAAGCCTTGTACAACATGGCAGCATCATCAGGAGGTATTACCATGCTGTCTGTTTAGGGGCAATTTCTGCAATCGGTGGCTAAATATCACAACTATACTCCCGACTGTCCTGAGTCAGTAATAGACACGAAACAAAAATTAGTCAACTGTAGATAATATACTAAGATCCAAAATATTGAAGTAGAAGTAAATATATTCAACTGAAGGGAAACTGGATTTTTCTGGTTAGAGTTAAATGTTTCAAGTTTGAATATTAAATTAGTTTATATGCAAAATTGAAAAGCCAAAAAAAAAAAAAAATACTTAGAATTTAACAATCTAAAGTTCAGGAAGAAAAAAATATTCAAAAAATGAATACACAAAACCAAACTAATCTATCGGAAATATAGACTTAATTATGTTTCAAGGTGAGACATCCAAACCTTCAGTGCTAGGGTGTTCTTGTCATTACATAAAGGTTAGCATTACTTCACATTAAAAAACAATCCTCTACTAAATCAAGTGTCTGTTACAAATCCAATCAAGATACAACTATTCTAGTGAAATTTAAGTAAAAATTAATTACTTTAAATAAGCTTTTTATTATTGCAAATAAACTTAATAGGAAATTAATTTGAGATAAATTTGCTTTCTGTATATACTTATATAAATATTAGAATTCCTGTTAATTAATTTGTTGATAGGAATGATTTTTTTTTTAAACAAAAACATCAATTTGAGTTTTAGGAGAGTTTAAAGTAATGAATAAATCAAGGACTTCTTAAGATAATTGAGACTAATTTGTTTTTAACAGAATTAATTTCGCTAGATGTGTAGTGTTTACACTATCAATAAAATTAATACAATAAAATAATCAATAAATCCGAAGCCCTTCCTAATAAATATCTCAGCATTTTGTAGTGTAAAGAAAGGTTAGCTAGAGCATTTTAAAAATAGTAATTTTTTTTGTATTTTTATTTACTTTTATTTTAATCATTCATTCAATTTTCATTTTACTTATATGGTGAAGGTGTCTTTCTTCTTCAGATTGTTGACATACCACAAAGTTCTAATTTTTCATGTATTCTAGCTAACCTTTATTACACTACTTTGAAAAGAATGCTGCAATAGGAACGGCTTTAGATTTATTGAAGATTTCATTGTGTATTCATTTTGTTGATTCTGCAAACACTATATATCCAGGAGAAATAACTCTGGTAAAAACTAACCAGTCTAATTTTTCATCAGACTTCCTTGATATGTTTATTACATAAACTCGTCCAAAACTTTTGTGTTACTAATTTATGTTTTTGATTAAATAAAGAACTTTTTATTTCTTATCAACAAATTAATTTAATTTACTAGAATTCTAATTTCTTTAAGTATCTACAGAAATGCAATTTTATCTCGAATTAATCATATGAAATTCATCTGTAATAATGAAAACTTTATTTTAAACAATTGTAAACCTCTATGTAAACTTCTCTTGAATAATGGTGTCTTGATTGGATTTGTAGACAGAAACTTTATTTAGTAGAGATTTGCCTTCTGAGGCAAAGTAATGCTTAGCTTTATGGTATGGTAAGGCCACTCAAGCATCAAAGGTTCAATTTGCTCAACTTGAAACAATTACTGCCTCCCAGTAAATGCATATGATTTGGCCTAGAGTTGATTAGATGGCCAAGAATTGGTTGGCTCACACCAGCCAAGAGTCAAGGCAAGTGTGAGAAACTTATGTTCATTGGAAGCCTTTTTTGATTAAACTTTGCTCCCCTGTTGGGTTCACTGACATATGGCACCAAATTGGGCATATATTATTGACCCAAATTTGTTTGACAATAATATTTTCAGTGACATACAAAAGAATTCTGGCTCATTCCTTTTTTTGCCGTGTACATGCCTCTGTGAAAATCACATAACTAATGTGCTTAATCATATGCTTTCATGATTCCTGCTCACTCATCTCTGATTACTAACTGTATTAATTGATTAACGATGTATTTTGTTATTTCAACAACACGTGTTGAAATAACATTTTAATGTTTATTGTAATTCATGGAACGTTGCGTCAAACTAACCTTTTGTAACAGGTAAATAAAGTAAAAATATATCTTCCTTACTTCAATCTGCATTTTCTTTCAAATGTTAAATTTAAATAATTATGTAAAAGATAAGTAAGTTAATCCAAGATGTAGATCTTGTAATATATGAAAGTAGGGTAAAATGCTCTCTTGTAATATATGAAAGTAGGGTAAAATGTACTATACTAATAGAAGAAAAATACAGGTTGTCCTAAATTAGACTGGCAGTTTTCAAAAATGTAAACTGGAAAACTGTTAAAAGGCCATTCTCACTGACTGCGATTTCTTAAAATTTTTTTAGCATGTGAAAAAAAGTCTCATGCGATTGAGAACCTTATCAGAGAATTATCTTTGTCTATAGAAAACTCAGTTAAGTTCTTTTTTGCATGCAAACTTGATACTCGGGTATATATTTTTCCTTACAGAATTCCGGATTTTAGTGAGAAAATTTTTTCTACAGATCGTGCTGAAGTTAGTAAACCTTTAAATCATTGAAAAGCAATTAAAAATAACATGATTTTTTTAAATGTTCACCATCAGCTGCTATCACATGTTGCAATTGGAGGATGAAATTAACACACACAGTGATTTAATAGTAGAGGAGCAGTATAATCTTTCAGAAACTTGAGATGAAAAACACGATTTTTCTGTGTTTTAATCTTAAAAATATTTATAAACTGTCAGTCTAATTCAGGTTACTTTATATTTATCAGTGATGAGACAAATTGCTGAAGTTAGATTATTTACTAAGCATGCACATTTTTATATCAGTTAACTTACATGAATGAGGGATCTTCTGAAACTAGCCATTCTGCTGAAGGATTGTCCACTAACATCAATAGGTACTACACTTGATGGCATCTTCATCATTTTATTAAAATCCAAATTAGATGAAAAGATTCATACATGAAAAATAAAAAGATGAAAAGATCATTACATAATAAACTTTAAATAAAAAAGAAATTCTTGCTTTACAAAAGTCAGTCATTTACCTTAAACAATAAGTTACTAGGATCACAGTTCATATAGAAATGATTGATACTATAGCTATCACAATGAAACTATACGCATTGTGCTTATAAAATAAGCACAAGGGGTCGTGTAATATGTGGAATGCATAAATGATGCTGGCTCAGGCAAGAAGTATGCAGTATCCATTTTTTTTTTTTATTTTTTTTGCCCCATTGTGTGAACATGAATGATGAAAAGTGTCTATCATGGTCTTTGTTGGATATCACGGTTTCTATGGAACGAGATATAGAGTAATGAAATCAATCATCACATTATGTCAGTTGCCAGGAATCAAGGTTGGCTTTTTCCTTAAAGAAACCTATTTCTTCTAGGACACTGGAAAAAATCGGAGAAAACTGGGCAAAGCGGAAGAAACTATAGAGAACCAATACAATTGTTTAGCAATAATTATAATGAGAATTGATTAAATTTAATTACCCTTAAAATTTTTATTTGTTTAATTACCTTTCACCAGTGGGTCGATAAATGAGTACCAAGCATGCATGGGAACTAAACACTAGGGGTTCCGCTTTCGGCTGACCACCTAACCGGAACATTTGCTCCTGCATCCCAGAGCCCAAGGTCAAGAAAGTTAGATGGGCACAGTAGGCCTTGGCCCTCTATGGGCTGTACCACTGAGTTTAGTATAGTTTTAGATTAAATTTAAACAAATTGAATTTAATAAATCGTCAGAAAATCAATTTTCAATAATTTAGAATTTTCATATCAAGTCTTTAAAAAAAAAACTATTCTCTTGTTCATTTTACTTTTATATGGAATTTTAAAATCTGAGTAAAATATAATTCAAGAGTCGGTTTGAATATTTATACTTAGTGTTTGATTATACAAATTGGTATTCTATTTGTAATTGTTAATTTAATGCATGATTTTTAATAGTGTATATCAGTGGTTTCCGACCCATGGGTTGTGGACACTTGCAGCTAAAATTGTTCAATTTCAATCCAGGTACTGGCTCTCTTGTGGAAGGCAAACAGTGTCAAAGATTCCACTAAGGGTCCTTTAACTTTGATCGAACTTTGTGTGTTTGAGTTTTTCGTGTCTATTTATCATAATATTTTTACTTTTATATTTAGTGGGTCATTTAGTAATATTTGATTTAAATTCATGTCTATTCAATTCTAAATATAAAATAAAGCTTTACTATACTTAATAAAGAACTACAGTTATTATGGAAAAAACTTGCCATCCTTGGCAAGAAAAAAATCACCCTTGAAGCATACCACCTATCCCTGGTTGGTTAGGTTCACTTGTGAAGTGGAAATTGCTTATTTAAAATCATTATTTAGTATGGACATTGTGAATCTTGTGACAAAAGTAAAGTAACCCATAAGAGTCATCCAACAATTAATATTGCACAAAGTAATTCTATATTAGAGTTAATTCATGCGGGCCTAGCAGGTCCAATAAATTGTGATTCATTTGGCAATTCAAAGATATATTTTAGTTCTAGTGGATGATTTTTCTGGGATGTACTTTTTTTTTATTATTTGAAGCATAAAAATGATATTTTTGAAATGCTTTGTAAATTTAAAGAAATGTATGAAAATGCAATTAATAAGAAAATCAAACGATTTAGAACAGATAACGGGTTAGAATTTGTTAATAACGAGATTGATAGTTTTCTTGAAAAATACGAGATCACCCCCCCCATATATANCCCCCATATATATATATATTTGTGAAAAGTGATTACTCAAATTCGCTTTGCGCATCGTAATATCGCATTAGGTGATCGAGAAACGAACTAGACTTACAATGGAATCTGTGCAAATTGAACGAGTTAAAAATTGATGACTCCGATTTTTAATTCAAAATTTTTTAGTTTTTAAGAAAGAAAAAAATCGGTATGTTCAGATGATCCCACGGGCAGCAGGATTTCAACCCAATCTATGATTTATAAAAAAAATAAAAAAAAAACGCTAAGAGTACAGAAAAGTCTCCTAGTAGTCGCCTTTTCCTGAAAATAGTTGCTTTTTTTTAGCCTTTTCAGGCAAAAAAAAAGTTGACATAGTCGCCTCATACAGAAAATAGTTGCATTTTAGTCACCTGTGACAACCCTGTAACTACTCGGTGTCTTTAACCGCTGAGTCATCATGACTGAAAACACTTTGGTATTAAATTGATCCGTTAAGAAAAGTATCGTATCCATAAGAAACTACAGGAAAGGAAAAATAGTTTGTTACTTTTAGTATTATTAAAAAGAACTGTTTTGAAAATTGATTTTAAAAAAAAATTAAGCCAAAAAGAAAAGTATTAAAAGAACAAAACTGACTGAAGAATGGGTATAAAAAATTAAGAAAAAACAATGTTACCTGTAAAGGCTTGTAATAGATGTGCGTAGTCTCTGAACTAGTGCAAGTAGGGTCACCATCTGTTTCAAGGACTACATTGCTACAAGGGATATGTGCTGAGGGCGAAGGTCCGTTCGCTAGATGACGAAGATGTTCAACTTCCGAGGGACGTGGTAAAGTGCGAAAAATAGGAGAACGACCAAAATCTTTTTCATCGCAACTTTTGTAAAGATTTCTTACTTCATGATTTTCACTTAAAGAGGAGGAAGCTGTAAAAATATATGTATATTAATAAAGTTTTTAATAGTTTAGTATACTATAAAGCATAGTTATCTACAGTAAAATCCGTACTAAACGAGAACAGAAAAATGCTCTTTACACACGGAATACCCCTGAGTATTTTCTCAAAAGTGCCCATCTGTATGAATTGCTTTAATTTAAAAAAAAATTTTTTTTCTATATTTTGTTATGATTTTAGGATAAACACCGGTTTTATTTTCTGAATTCACCCCTTCTATTAAGAATCATTCCTTTCAGAATTTCATTCTCATATTTCACCATACAATTTACTTATTATTAGGGTTGATGATCGAAAAATTCTTAAAAAAGTGAAGAAAAAAAAGCATTAAAAACCATAAAACATGACCTTAAAATGAAACATAATGACTTTTAAAACTTTCTTAAACATGTTTTACATTAGATTTCCTTAAAAAAAATTATAAATCGTAACTAAGCAGTCAAAATGACTGGATTGTGAAAGAATAATTAATGTGTAAAGAAATTTGTTTAAAATTAATTTTTAATATTTTATATATTATTTACAGTTATATAACAAGTTATTAGTAAATATTAACAATGAAAAAATTATACGTTGTACAAAAGTCACAAAATTCTAAGAAATTGTGTATACTATAATTCTAAGAAATTGTTTTTCTAATTGAAATTAAAAGGCAGTCAAATTGACTTTGTTGGGCAATCTAGTGCTAAGATGAAGTTTTCATCTCAAAATAATGGAATTACAATTTTTATTACTTTCTGTGGTTGTCCGACATCGTCTAGATAGTTTTAGGATGGAATCGATTGTATGGTGAAGTTCCCTGGAAAATTATTAGAATTACGATTTTATTTATTTTTGGTGATTCGACGTAACTCAGCTGAAGGGATGAAGATCGGGAGGGAAAATTCTAAATATGCTTTTAATCCATTTTATTTTATTTTCACAAATAAACTAATGATGGATGCTTACTCTAATTGGCGGTATCTTTTGAAATTGTGAAATAAAAGAGTGCGGCATTTTAGATAATCCATCAATTTTTTCTGACAAAATTTTACCAATACAATTTTGAAATTAACAGTTTACGATAGGTAGTTAAATAGTATACAGTTGTCTGTTTTTACATTTTTGATAAACACCTTTTTAATGCTCCTTTTTCATACACCTTTCTTTTAGATCAATTAAAACTGTTATAAAATTAAATTGAAAAAACTAAAAATTGAGAAACGTGTTATTCTAAAATACTTATTCAAAACCACAAAACGCGTCATTATATTGTTTTAAAGTTTTGAGGAAAAAAATTCATAGAAGTTCTAAAAGTTATCACGAGTTATTTCTCCTAATTTAATAAAACAACCCCATTATTTTCCACCTTTTTTTGAAAGGTGTTGTGCTGTCTAATAATACTGAAACATAAAAAGTTTGTTAAGTACAAAAAAAAAAAAAAAAAAAAAAAAAAAAAAAAAAANATCAGGGAAACATAAATTAAAAATTTAACCTAAAATCCAAGATGGCGAGGTTAGAGGGCTCTTAAGGTGAAGTTTTCATCTCAAAATATTAGAATGGCAATTTTATTTACTTTCAGTGATAGTAGACATTAGCCTCGATAATTGAAAGTGGTGTTCGAGTTTATGAAGTTTTCAGGGTAAAAGCATATTATATACACTTAGAATAGCAATTATTTGAAACCTTTTTTTTAAGCTTTCGTTTTTTTTTTAAAGGGATAATGGTTATTTGATATTTTTGTTTCATTAGGTAAGAGACTTTTTTAATGCCTAAAGAGAGTTTAGAAAAAAGTTTCTTACGACGCACTATCTATAGCTTGAGGCATAAAGAATTACCCATGCGATATATTATACGAACGGGTTATTTTCCTCAAGGATTTATTTCATTTCACTATCTTTCTCGAAGGTCTAATCCATATCGAAAGTCTAATTAGTAATCTATAAATTCCATCTTTTTGAGACCTCATAAGTAACCCTTTTTTTCTTTCTTTGAAATTTCAAGTTTACATAAAGGTGAAGAGCTAATTAGAAGAACCAGGTAAGTGACATCTTCAGTGTGATAATAATCAAGATAAGAAAGAAAGAAAGTGGTATCCGAACTATTTTATTATAGATTTGTTAGAAGGCAGGACCTAATAATTATTTACCTCATTTTATTTACCACTTGCTAACTTGAAATAAAGATCATGCAAGCATATTCAAAAGCAATGTGCATTAGTTACGTTAAAGTAAAAGCAAAAAAAATTCCATTACATTTAACCTAACCATATTGACGCACCCACTTTATGTTATTTTCCCTGATTAATGTCAAATTCTTCATTCACCAAACTCTTCAGTTTTCACTGCACTCGCATATTTACCGGGAATTTTTTCTTAATACTTAAATTGAAAAATATTAGCTCTCTCAGAATGGGCCTAATATTTTTTGGGGGGGATAGCAGGGACAGAAACGTGAAGATCAATCGGAAAAAAATTTAATTGTAAAGAAACAGTAAAATATATATATATGAAGCCCCTAACCAAATTATTAGACGCACTATAAGATTCTATGTAACATCTTAATTATCAGATAATGCTATACAGCTTTGTTTTTACTCGGCTGAAATCAGTTTGCACTTCTTTACGTTCGTGTATCAATTTGTTAACATTCGAATGCAATACGCAAAAAATAAATACAAATAGGAATTATATAAAAAATCTCCGGTATGAAAACCCATTACATGTATGTTTAAATATAAAAGTAATGCATCTAAAACTCGTGCAAAACATGTCATTATTAAAAAACTACAGTGCGTCTAATAATTTGGTCTAATTATTGTAATATATACTTGTATAGTACCTGATATAATAAGTTTTCTATATTTATATAATATATCGCATAATTTATTCAATCGTTGAATTTATATTATATATTGTCTACTTACACCGATTGATACACGGGCGAAAACAAGTGCAAACCGGTTTCAGTCGCGTAAAAGCAATAAAGCTGTATAGTATCACCTAATAATTAAGATTTTACGTAGAATCTCATAGTGCGTCTCATAATTTGGCAGGGACTGTATATATATATATAATGTAACTTTTAGGTCTTCCAGAACCTGCATTGAAACCTTAAATTCCATTAACAATTGGGAATATTTTCAACTCTTAACTCAAAGTTTAGATTAGGTTATGAAGTTGCTTCCGGATTAAATGAAAATCTTCATGTAAATTCCGAGAAACCCGAAATGTTACAATTCATACATGATTATTTTATCGTAACTTTACATTCCTAACTTAGATTTTTTTCTTAACTTGAAAAATAAAATTAGTATTATATGTTTTTTTTTTTTCGTTTGGAAAAAAAAAATTTAAAATTTACGTTTTGAATCTCCTCCAAAAAAGACATTTTAAGCTCATTTTAGAAGAGTTAAATAGTTTTTAATTTGATTGTTTATTTATTTTTTATTTAAAAATATGTAACCATAGTGACAACTTTTTATTACCGATAACTAATGGTTTTGTTTCAATTTAAATGTAGTAAAATAAAAAGCATCAGCCATTTTCTTTATTAACCCAGTTAGGCGTGTATATATGTAAAATGAATATTCTAAAAGATTCAAGTGTTTTTGATAATCCACTCAGTAAAATCAATTTTTTAGAATGTTGAAAAAATGTGTACATTTTTCGTAAAATGGTTCAAGTAAAATAGATACTAGCTACTATATCGGTTAAAAATATTGACAAAAAGAGGCTAAATTGATTTTTCACTCTATTATCCATTTAGTAAATGAAACTTTTAGAAACCTTAGCACAAGTTAAATGTGATTGATATAAATGAAATAAATTATTGCAATTTATTTATAATCCCCTTTTTTTCTCAAAAAATAATGTTATTCGCTTGTTTCCATACAAAGACAACGTAAATGCAGTAATAATAATTTCTGTTCATATAACTTTGGAGAAAAGATTACATTAATGTTGGTGTCTTGCCTGATTAGCGAATATCTTCTTCCTGTATAACATCTTGAAGAATAATGTTAAAAAAAGTAAATTTTTGAATTTATCATGAAATGATCAGCTAAAAGCGTGAAAATGGAATTTAAAAGTTTTATCTGGATTGTTTAACGATATTACATTCATCTAGTTTTAACTAATGATAGAAGTATTTAAACATCTGTAGACTAATACCATAGGAATAACTGAAAGAGTATAAATAGGCTCTAAAGTCTATACTTCATAATTTTATTCTACATAATTTTATTCTACTATACACAATGACAGCAATCTTCATACGATGCGATTTTTGCATAAAAAAAATGCCAACTTTTTCAAGACTGATAAATTCTTTGCTTTACACAAACAATATTGCTTTTTAAATTAAATAAAAAAGAAACATATTTTATGAGAATTTTGTTTTAATCAAAAGTTTAGATTGCTTAAGCTTAAAGTGTATTTAAAAGACCAAGATAATATTTGCCTGATTGTATATCTGACCCATCAAATTACTGCAAACTATTTACCATCTAACGGACAAGTGTTGCATAGTTTATTCTACATAAAGCACTAAGTAAAATTAGAAATAAAAGAATGCAAAAAAGCTAACAGTTCTAGAAAATTTTGATGTTTTTTGTGGAGAAAACAAAGATACCTACAAAGTGTAAATTAAAAAAAAATTGTATTGACCTTTAAAATATTTATTTAGTGGTAGAAAATTAGGTGTTTCGAGTCACATTTTCAAGTTATTTGATGATCAAATAAAATAGTTTAGAACATATTCTATTGAAATATGTTGAAAAATCGTATCCCAGATTTAAAATGAATTAGTAATTAAAAATAGTTGTCGTGAAATGGAGTTTATTGGTTGAAATTTACTAGAATATTTAACGCTATCATTATAAACAAATGATTATACCCTTCTAATGATGCTCTGGACAGCAGAGTGTGATGATATTAGGAAATAAAACATGTGAAAGAAAAGATACATTTATGGGGGATGATCCCCAAAAAT